CACTTGTGAAATCAGGACCAAAATATAGTGACACTAGAATCAATCAGATTGCTTCAATTTGAGTTCTTTAGTGTGGCTGAATAACTGTTTTCCTGCAATCAACTGGAAGTGGAAGAATTAAAAGACCAGTCCCCGAAAGCATTTAATTTAGTGCTGTATTACGCAGGAATATTAGTCTCTCCAGTGTTAGTAAGGTTCCTTTTTTATGGATTTTGCCTATTGCAGCTGTTTGTGCAGAGCGTCATCATCATAATACTGATGACGAGCCTCATAATTGCCCCTTAGTCAGCTCCAGTTCCTATTGTGTGTGTGTATGTATGTGTGCAACGACAATATCCTCTTCCGCATGCTATTTAGAAAGTGATACTTTAGAATAAACATTTTTTTAAAAAAAATAGAATTAATATTAATTAAATCTCCCATTTTTAGGGGAGAATGGACTAATTAAGGGTCAATTAGAAGGCTGCCATTGAGTATCACAAACAAAAAAGAAATTAAATGTACAAATGCTGTGGAATCTACTAATTAAACACACAATAGCCCCAAGAAACCACAAAAGTACTCTGCCAAACTATATTAGATCAACCGATGCTACAAGTGCCATATTTAACCAAATTAAGCCTTTATAATAAAAAAGAGATGATGACAGCACTGCAGAAACCACTGGAATGAAACAGTAACATCTGGATTTCCTATAAGAAGCAAGCCAACAAAAATGGCAAATCCAGACAATAATGCTTTAGAGCAGTGGTTCCCAACCTTCCTAATGCCGCAACCCCTTAATACAGTTCCTCATGTTGTGGTGACCCCGAACCATAACATTATTTTCATTTCTACTTCACAGCTGTAATTTTGCTACTGTTATGAATCATAATGTAAATATCTGGAGAGACCCTGCTCTCACTCCCACCTCCCTCGCAGGCGCGATTGGTGGGGACGAGGGAGAGGGCCTTCTCGGTGGTGGCCAGGGGACCCACAGGTTGAGAGTAGAGAATGACTGGGCTACAATTTCCTCCCTGCTGTACTCACTTTATATTTGTATGAAAGTGTTTCTTAATGGGAATATTCAAACACATCATTTTTGAAATGGTAGAGCATATTCAATGACTTAAATTTCATTTTATCTTAAACAGAACAGGTCAGTGGCCCAGTTTTTCAAGGAGAGGAACTCTTAATCTCAAAACTGTTAAAAAACAGAGTTCTTCTTTTGCACACCTAGACTTTCTGCAGTGAAAATGTCACATCCAGGACTTACATGTACATAAGACTGACTGTAGAGATCACTACATGTACTGTACATGTAAGGATGGTGGCTCTGTTGTTCATGCGTCATGGATCAGTTCAACAGATATCAGTGTTTCCATTAGAAATAATTATTCTTCAGTAAAAGGATAGGTGCTGCTGAGGAAAAAGAAAAAAAAATATTCTGAAGAGAGACAGATCACTTGGAGTCATAGTTGTCCTTCTACATTTGCAGGCTAAGCATTCATACTTTTGATTATTTGTGGATTGCTCTATTTTTTATGCCACCGCTGCCCTGCATGTGACCAAAATAAGTATGTTCTCTCTAGAAATTTGTTGACTCTTTATGAAAACTATGGTCAATTTCCAGAAGAGGCTGACCATAGAATCATAGGGCCCTTCTACACTGCCATATAATCCAGAATATCAAGGCAGATAATCCACATTATCTGCTTTAAACTGGATTATCTGAGTCATTCGTTCAGTCGTTTCCGACTCTTCGTGACTTCATGGACCAGCCCATGCCAGAGCTCCTTGTAAGTCGTCACCACCCCCAGCTCCTTCAAGATCAATCCAGTCACTCCAAGGATACCATCCATCCATCTTGCCCTTGGTAACTGAGTCTACACTTCCATATAATCCAAAGCAGATGATCTGGATTTTATATGGCAATGTAGATAGGGCCATATTATTCAGGAGATTCCACCTGAAGATTAGGAAGGACTTTCTAACTATAAGAGCTGTTCAGCAGTGGAATTCGCTGGCTCAGAGTCTGATGGAGGCGCCTTCCTTGGAGGCTTTCAGAGGCTAGATGGCCATCTATGGAGGTTACTTTGATTATGCTTTTCAGGAATAGCAGGAGGCTGGACTGGATGGCTCATGTAGTCTCTTCCAACTGTATGATTTTATGATCCTACTAGCCATCCCCTGCCACATGTGGCTGTGACCCAGGCTGTGTATATGTGTTTTGTGTGTCTATATGTGTGTGTATATATTTGTGTATGTTTGTATATAGGTAAAGGTAAAGGTAGTCCCCTGACATTAAGTCCAGTCATGTCTGACTCTGGGGTGTGGTGCTCATCTCCATTTCTAAGCCGAAGAGCCAGCGTTGTCCGTAGACACCTCCAAGTCATGTGGCCGGCATGACTGCATGGAGCGCTGTTACCTTCCCGCCGGAGCGGTACCTATTGATCTACTCACATTTGCATGTTTTCGAACTGCTAGGTTGGCAGAAGCTAGGGCTGACAGCGGAAGCTCACGCCGCTCCCCGGAATCGAACCTGCGACCTTTCGATCAACAAGCTCAGCAGCTCAGTGCTTTAACCCACCAAGCCACCGGGGGCTCCTTATGTTTTGAGGTGCATGTATATACACATATGGAAATGAGCACCAACCCGCAGAGTCAGACATGACTGGACTTAATGTCAGGGGAAAACTTTTACCTATGTGCATATATGTGTGTGGTTTCGCGCATGTGTTGTAATGTAATTTTTGGTTTTTGGCCTTTTAAGTCCCTTCCACTGTGTTTTTGAGTGTTTTTATGAGTGATGGTCGCTCGTTGGCCTGATAGGTGTCTTGTGTCCAAATTTGGTGTCAATTCATCCATTGGTTTTTGAGTTATGTTAATCCCACAAATGAACATTATATTTTTATTTATATAGACTAGCTGTACCTGCCACTCGTTGCTGTGGCCAACCTTCCCTCTTTCTCTCCTTCTTTCACTCCTTCCTTCACTCCCTCTTTCCTTCCTACCCATCGTTCCTTCTTCTCTTCCTTCCTTCTCTATCTCTTTCCTTCTTTCCCCCCTTTTCTTTCTCTTCTGCCGTCTCTCTTTTCTTCCTTCTCTTTCCTTCCCTCCCTCTTTCTCTATAACTTCCCCCCTTCCTTCGCTCCCTCTTTCCTTCCTTCATTCCCTTTTTTCTTTCCTTCCCCCTTTTTCCTTCCCTCTCTCTTTCTCTCTTCCTTCTCTACCTCTTTCCTTCTTTCTCTCTTTGCTTCCATGCTTCCTTCTCCCTTTCCTTCTTTCTTTCCCTCCCTCTTCCTTTTCTTTCTTTTTTTCCCTCCCTCTTTCTTCCTTTTTTCTGTATTGTCAGTTAGCTTTTCGTCATTTAGGTTTTTGGGGCTTTTTAAGTCCTTCTGCTGTGTTTTTCAGTGTTTTTAATGAGTGAAGGACATACATTGGGTTGTTAGATGTATTGTATCCAAATTTGGTGTCAATTCCCCCAGTGGTTTTTGAGTTATGTTAATCCCACAAATGAACATTATATTTTTATTTGTATAGACTAGCTGTACCCGCCATGCGTTGCTGTGGCCAACCTTCCCTCTTTCTCTCCTTCTTTCACTCTTTCCTTCACTCCCTTTTTCCTTCCTACACATCGTTCCTTCTCTTCCTTCCTTCTCTATCTCTTTCCTTCTTTCCCCTTTTCTTTTTTTTCTGCCATCTCTCTTTTCTTCCTTCTCTTTCCTTCGCTCCCTCTTTCCTTCCTTCATTCCCTTTTTTCATTATATTTTTATTTATATAGACTAGCTGTATACGCCACGCGTTGCTGTGGCCAACCTTCCCTCTTTCTCTCCTTCTTTCACTCCTTCCTTCACTCCCTCTTTCCTTCCTTCCGTCCTTCCTTCCCATCTTTCCTTCTTCTCTTCCTTCCTTCTCTTTTCCTTTCCCCCCTTTTCTTTCTTTTCTGCCTGTCTCTCTTTTCTTCCTTCTCTCTTTCCTTCCCTCCTTTTCTCTACATCTTCCCCCCTTTCTTTGCTCCCTTTCTCCTTCCCCTCTTCTCTTCCCTTTTTCTTTCCCTCCCTCTTTCTCTCTTCCTCTCTCCTTCTTCCTTCTCTTTGTTCCCTTCCTTCTCTCTTTCTTTTTCTTTCTTTTTTTCTTTCTTTCTTTTTCTTTTCTTTCTTTCTTTCTTTCTTTCTTTCTTTTCTTTCTTTCTTTTCTTTTCTTCCCCTTCCCTCCCTCTTTCTTCCTTTTTTTCTGTATTGTCATTTAGCTTTTCGTCATTTAGCTTTTGGGGCTGCTGTGTTTTGCTGTGTTTTTATGAGTGAAGGACATACATTGGGTTGTTAGGTGTATTGTGTCCAAATTTGGTGTCAATTCCCCCAGTGGTTTTTGAGTTCTGTTAATCCCACAAATGAACATTACATTTTTATTTATATAGATTCACTTACTCATCTTCCCAATCCCTGCCTCCTAGGTAAGGAGGCTACTGAAGGGGGAAATTATATTTTTGCCAAAGATCTTAAATGATAGTTTGGAGATGACTATTGTAGCTAAAATATTCTGGTGGCGCAGCGGGTTGTTAGGTGTATTGTGTCCAAATTTGGTGTCAATTCCCCCAGTGGTTTTTGAGTTCTGTTAATCCCACAAATGAACATTACATTTTTATTTATATAGATGACTGACAAATGCTCTCAAGTAAAAAAATAATAATAATAACAGGCCATAGGGTTTTCCCCCCGTTTTGTGAGAATCCTGCGTCCCTGATACCCTTGAGTGTGGAAAACTTACGGTTCAGTGTATGAAACAAGAAAGAAGAAAACACCATCACGTGGTTTCATCCTATACCAAAACAGAAGGCATCATCCTGAGAGTTTCAGCTGCACCTCAAAACTGAAAAAACCATAGATCAGACACAGATTGAAAGGTGTCAGAACGTCCAGACCCAAATATCTCCAAAGCCATAGGGTGGATTTCCTCAGGGTTCGCTTCTTGTGGAATTCCTCACAATCCCTTCCTGCTAAGCCATGATATCAAGAAAATCATTTTTTCCAGGCTTTTATTTAGCAAAAGAAAAAATAATTATAAAATGAACCAATAAAAAGCCCGTGCAGCTGCAGGGACACCCCCACATCAATTCCTTAATCCCTGATGGGGGAATTTAAAATTTATTTTATTTCAATTCATATTTTTTTTCAGTGGGGGAGAAAAGTGGGGGACTGAACCCCTCCAGGCTGCAGTGCAAATATTTACACAGACTCGTATGAATGAGGGGAAAGGGAGGAGAGAGAGAGAAAGAGAAAATGAAGGACTTTTTACACTGAAATCTCTACACCCAGGGAATGGAATCATTTACAGCCAATAATCTTAACAAGATGCAATAATAAATTAATGAGTAAGGCACTGCACCCCATGAGGGCACAACAGGTGGGGTGGGGGTGAGAGGAAAGGGGGAGGGGGTGCTGTCAGGTAAGGATTAAAAATATCCAATTGCCATGATTACCAAAAACAGAACAAGGGCAAATTCCACCAGCTACCGACAAGGAGTGGGGGACGAGGGAATGGTCTGTATGTTTAAGGAAAGGGTCCACAAACATTTGGGGACGAGGGATCGCCATTTAGCTGCCAGCTTGAGGGGGGGCAAATATCTGGTTGTTGCCCCAACCTCGCTGCTCATTCTGAGTTGCCCCTCCCAATTCCGAGACGAGGAAAGGGTGCTTGTTATTGCTTCTGGGCTGAAGATCTGGGGAAGGAGCACCACGACCTTCGTCTGTAGCCCTCCGGGATTTCAGCCTGAAGGGGCAAAAAGGTCACACGTCTCTTGCCCACAGCAAGAGGTTTTTTTAAAAATGTCAAGTCCGTCACCCTTGGTGGGACCACAAGTCAAAGTTGGAGGTAGAGTCTTTTTTTTTTCTGATACGCCTCTTCAGGATGCGTTCCCCTACTTCCCTTTTGCCCCCTTCCCTCCCGCAGCACTCTCAGCTATTTCCAGACACGAGAGTGATGACTTGTTCAAGCTTCAGCCTCAATTTGTGTTTCCGGCAGGCTACGTCACGTTCCAGCGCTGTCAGGATCTGGTGAGGGTGGGGAAAAGGAAGGTAACGGGTTGGGAATGCAGGGAAGGAAAAGAGAAAGGTGAAAAAGGTCAGGAGGGGCTAGTGCCCCCAATTCCCAGGAACAAGAAAGGAATAAGATCTGGACTCTAGGATGGGAAAAGATGCCTGGTAAAACTGGAAAAGGACACAGAGGGATGCAGGAGAAAGGAACGACTCCGGCCCAGTTTACCTTTCTGAACGGATTCTCCCCTATGAACCATCAAGGTTATTAAGATCTTCTGGAGGGGCCCTGCTCTCGGTCCCACCACCCTCGCAATCGCGTCTGGTGGGGACGAGGAACAAGGCCTTCTCGGTGGTGGCTCCTCGGTTCTGGAACTCTCTCCCACTGGAGATTAGAACTGCCCCTTCTCTCCTGACTTTTAGAAAGCTGGTGAAAACTTGGCTCTGGAATTTAGCATTCGATGAGTGAGTCAATAACTCTTGACCACACAGACAGATGGTGATGAATTGTGATTTCATTCTGATGACTTGGCCTTATGTAATTATATGATTGTATTTTAATATATTTTATGTATTAGTGCATTATGTGATGTGATATTTTAGACTATTGTGTATGAATCCTTTGTTGTAAACCGGCCTGAGTCCCCCTGCGGAGGTTGAGAAGACTGGTATATAAAAGTTATAAATAAATAAAGGAGCTCAAAGGCTCCATGTTCTCACCTCAGGCCGGACAAATCTAAGCTGTCAAAAAGTTGAGCGGGAGACCTTACACACATACACACTTATTTGCAACCACTTTCCATATTCCTTGAATTCTCTGATTGCAAAGGAAGTGGAGTGGGAGAAGGAGAGATTACTCCTTTTTTTTTTTTAAAAAAAATCTTTATTAAAGTTTTATTTACAATCGTTAAAAGAGAGATTACTCCTAGTGACTAAGGTAAGGATAGACTTTTGGAGTGAAAGGCCAAGAGGAGGAAGGAAACATGTAAATAGGAGAGAGACAAAAAGCCATGAAGATGTTGACTTGTCAAAGTAACTATCTACTAGAGCAGGGGGTCCTCAAACTAAGGTCCGGGGGCTGAATACAGTCCTCCAAGGTATTTACCCGGCCCTCACTCAGGGTCAGCCTAAGTCTGAAATGACTTGAAAGCACACAACAACAACAACAACAACAACCCTATCTCATAGTCAGATCATGGACAAAAAGATTAAGCATACACATGAGTTGTATATTTTGGACACAGCTATCCTTTTAAGCTGAAATTGATTGTTTGTTCTTGATGTTGCATGCCTTCAAGCCATTTCTGAATGAAGGTGACCCTAAGACCTTACTGGCAGAATTTGTTCAGAGAGGGAGGTTTCCCTTGTCTTCCTCCAAGGCTGAGAGAGTGCCACTTTCCCAGGGCCACCCAATGGATTTCCATGGTGGAGTGGGGATTTGAACTGTGGTCCTAGTCCAATGCTCAAACCAGGGGCCCTCCAAGGTCATTTACCCGGCCCTCACTCAGGGTCAACCTAAGTCTGAAACTACTTGAAAGCACACAACAACAACAATCCCATCTCATCAGCCAAAAGCAGGCCCACACTTCCCATTAAAATACTAATAAGTTTATATTTGTTAAAATTGTTCTTCATTTTAAATAACTGTATTGTTTTAAAGTGTTTTTTTCCCCACTACAAATAAGATATGTGCAGTGTCCATAGGAATTCATTTATGTTTTTTTCAAATTATAATCCGGTCCTCCAACAGTTTGAGGGACTGTGACCTGACCCTCTTTTTAAAAAGTTTGAGGACCCCTGTACTAGATCTTAAAGTGAATGTATCTCTTGGTAGGGCAATTTTGGTAACACTATGAGCCAAACAGAAAAGTGCAGGATATTCAGGGAGGGGACAGATAGTGGTGCCTTATCATAGTATGTACAACAAGACTTTATTACGGTCCACAACCAGCACAAAGTGGGGCACAAATGCCCTGGGAAGGGGAAATCATACTGAATCATACTATGGTACTGCATCAGATTCCAATCTAGGCACCACCCTCCACAGAGGTACAATTGATGTCCCTTCAAGCACTGCTGGATGACTGACTGAAGAATGGTTGAGAAGCGGGAGGATTGAACAAAAGGGGGAGAGTTATGATGGAGCCTCACCTCGTCACGATACCTTCCCACATAGCTGTAGAGCTCCCCCAGTGCGCCCAGCGTGTTAAACTCGCCCGCATGCTGCCGTGATTGCTCTACTAGGTAAGCATCCATGTCTTGATCACTGATGGATGCCATCTTTGTTATGTCCCGATAATACCTGGAATACAGAAAGCGATACTGACGTGTAATTTCATATGCTTGGAAAGGGGAGGACATCATCCAATGAATCCTGATACATCAGTAAAGGGAGTTGGGGTGGGGAAGAATCTATCTGGCCAAATTAAGGATCAGACTGCATATCTCCAATTACATCTGCAACATGTGCCTATGGGTAACAGGGAACCTTTGTTGCTGAGTTTGATGCATTACATTTGTATGTGTACTAATGCAAGATGCATGAATACCATGTGCCTGGCTTCAGAGATTCACCATGCTTCACAGTGGATTCCTGAGTGCTTTGGGTTAGAACAAGATTGTTTTTTTTTCAGGGAGTGTGGGGCTATGGTGTTGCTGAATTTTGGTGATAGTATTGGGAGTCACTAGAAAGGATAGCATTCCAAAGTTGGCTATTCCTGGTCCGGGCGTATCATTGTTTACATACAACAAAACTGTGTCTTCACTGGATTTGTTCCATTACTTCTCGGATCAGTGCTCCTACAGTCTTCAGATGCCAGCAGACGGGAGAGATAAAAATGTTACAAATCTACTGTGGGGCCCTCCAGATGTGTTGGATTACAACTCCACAGACCACATGGCAATAGAGAAGTCATGGTAATTCAGTCCCTTGAAATCTCTCCTGCTTTTAAGGTGGATAGTGGGCGGGGGGGGGGGGGGTCCTTTCTTTCAAGCAGTTGGAATCCTTTCACCCCTGCCAGTCTCACAAGCTCATCTTGGGAGCACAAGGGAGAGAGCCTTCTCCTCTGTTGCTCCCTGACTTTGGAACTCATTACCTGGAGAGATCAGGAAAGCCCCAACACTAGAGACCTTTATAAAGGACCTTAAAACCCGGCTCTTCTGCTGCGCCTTCGGCGAGTAGGTGTACAGCATGACATGACTGTTCCCCACAACGCTTCTGTCACTGGAGTACACGCCCCCCTAATGGGAAGCTTAGTTTCACAACCCTGTGTTTATGTGCTCCCTGCAAATAACTTGCTCCTATTCTTATCTCATTCGTGTTTTTAACATTTTATTTTGTACATTTGGCCTGCCCATTGTCACTGCAATTGTGTTATTGTATGTTATTTTGTTACTGCATTCATATGTTTTTGGTTGTTTTTGTTAATGAAATTTGATGCTTATGTTTTGGTTTTATTTTTGCTGTAATATGTTGTCCGGGCTTGGCCCCATGTAAGCCACTCCGAGTCCCGGTTGGGGAGATGGTGGCGGGGTATAAATAAAGTTATTATTATTATTATTATTATTATTATTATTATTATTATTATTTTCCATCTAGGAATTTCCAAATTACAGGATCCAAGCTTCTGACAGCAAAATCTTACATATACGCATACTACACTGGGGATATTTCCAAAGGTCACCCAAAATTCCCAATGGAAGGAAAAGGGGTGAACTTTAATTTCACCTTCACCAGCTGTAGGATGCTTTCAATTCCTTAATGTTATACCCCTGCCTCTTCTACAACTTACCTTTCCACCCAGCCTTTATAGACAGGAATGTCCTTGGCATAGAGCAACTTTGTTGAAGGGGAATCCTTGCCCAGGCGGTGCTCGGAGGTGGAGCATGAGTCCATGAAGGTCTGGGCCACCACAGAGAGGCAAGCATCTGTGATGCTGCTCTTGTGGATATCAAAAACAAACTGGGGGTTCTTGATGACATTCACCCAAAACCGCAAGGGCAGGCTGGAAGCAAAAAGGAGCAAGGTGTGTGAGACACTGAAAGCAGAAGGCAATGGTTTTCTTAGAATACATCAATACATCAATACCTTCAATACTCTTATATTCCGTCCTCAATTCATTTCATCAACTATAAGTGTATATATATCTTGTATACTTTTTTTTTCACCTCTGTGCCCCTCCTCTCTTCCGAGCCATTTCAATTTACATTCTCTTTCCAAAATACCATTTCTTCTTGTGGAGGGAATTTCTCATCTACTTGTTTTAAGTTGTTCTCAATAAATTTTCCGCAAACTTCATCAAAGTCGTTTCCCTTCCATACCCCTTTCCTGACTCTTAACCTACATGTCAATTTATCATTTATTGCTAGTTTCCATAGTTCTTTATTCCATTCTTCAATTGATATATTTATTTTACCTTTCCAATTCTTCGCTATCAGTAATCTTGCTGCAGTTAACATGTTATCTATTGCATCTTTCTCTGTTTTTTTAAATTTCTTAACGTTATATAGTGAGAACAATGCAATACTTGCACTTTTCCCTATCTTCATATCCATTATAGCTTCTATCTCTCCAAATACCTTCCCCCAAAATTCATTTACATATTTACATTGCCACCACATATGTATATATGTACCCATCTCCTGGTAACCTCTCCAACTATTTTTTGTGGCATTCCTATTAATATTTGCAATCTTCACTGGTGTTAAGAACCATTTCCAAACCAATGTATAATAATTTTCTTTAACACGTATTGATAAATTCTTTAAATATCATTGCTTCCATAATTGTACGCAATCCGCTTCTTTTATTCTAATCTCTAGGTCTTCCTCCCATATCTCTCTTAATGTTGCATCCTTTATTTTCCCCCCTTAATATCAATTATTATCTTATACAATTTGCTGGTTATTCCTTTCAACTTGTGGTATCCTCCCGTAGCGCTTTCTTTTTGTATCATTTGCTCAACCTGTGTAAGTTTACCTCCTTCCCCATTATTTTTTATCCAATTCTTGAACCATTGCTCTAACTGTAAGCAATGGAACCATGAGAGCTTAATATTTCTAAATTCTCTCAATATAGTTTCCTTCCATAGAATCATAGAATCAAAGAGTTGGAAGAGACCTCATGGGCCATCCAGTCCAACCCCCCGCCAAGAAGCAGGAATATTGCATTCAAATCACCCCTGACAGATGGCCATCCAGCCTCTGTTTAAAAGCTTCCAAAGAAGGAGCCTCCACCACACTCCGGGCAGAGAGTTCCACTGCTGAACGGCTCTCACAGTCAGGAAGTTCTTCCTCATGTTCAGATGGAATCTCCTTTCTTGTAGTTTGAAGCCATTGTTCCGCATCCTAGTCTCCAGGGAAGCAGAAAACAAGCTTGCTCCCTCCTCCCTGTGGCTTCCTCTCACATATTTATACATGGCTATCATATCTCCTCTCAGCCTTCTCTTCTTCAGGCTAAACATGCCCAGCTCCTTAAGCCGCTCCTCATAGGGCTTGTTCTCCAGACCCTTTGATCATTTTAGTCGCTCTCCTCTGGACACATTCCAGATTGTCAATATCTCTCTTGAATTGTGGTGCCCAGAATTGGACACAATATTCCAGGTGTGGTCTAACCAAAGCAGAATAGAGGGGTAGCATGACTTCCCTAGATCTAGACACTATGCTCCTATTGATGCAGGCCAAAATCCCATTGGCTTTTTTTTTTGCCGCCACATCACATTGTTGGCTCATGTTTAACTTGTTGTCCACGAGGACTCCAAGATCTTTTTCACACGTACTGCTCTCGAGCCAGGCATCTCCCCCATTCTGTATCTTTGCATTTCGTTTTTCCTGCCAAAGTGGAGTCTCTTGCATTTGTCCCTGTTGAACTTCATTTTGTTAGTTTTGGCCCATCTCTCTAATCTGTCAAGATCGTTTTGAATCCTGCTCCTGTCCTCTGGAGTATTGGCTATCCCTCATGTTTGCTTTTATCCAATCTCCAAATTTGTCTATATTCTTCTCTCTTAATTTTTTATCTAATATGTTTTTTTAATTTTTTGGGAATTTTCTATCCAGTCTCATTTGTTGAAGACAGTATTTACTGTTTCCCCAGGGAAGTAAAATTCAATAGAAGTAAGAAAACTTGGCTTTCTCCTCACTGAACTAAAACAAATGGAAAGTCAGAAAAGCCCTTAGTGTGGCGATGAAGAATTTGGACCTGTAAGACATTCCTAAGGATGTTATGATGTTTTGATCCACTAGTGTCCTGAAGCAAGGAGTAGGTAAAGAGGCAGGATCCTTTGTGTTGTGCTGTGGACTCATTTTGTTGTGTTTCAAATAATACTAATAATAATAATTATTATTATTATCATTATTATAGTGTGCTGTGGGTTCATTTTGTTGTGTTTCAAATAATAATAAGAGGCATGTTCAGGGGAAAAAGAGGGAGACAGTTCAAAATGTGCAATGCATATCTTAAAACAATAGATACTTGGGGGGAAAGACTTCTTTTCCCACTACAGAGACACAATAAATGGCTCTATAAATATCTTAGTCTTAACTAGAATAGAGCTATTGAATCCACTGGATCTATTTACATGTGGATTCTCCTCTGTGGCTCCCCGACTTTGGAACTCTTTACCTGGAGAGATCAGGAAAGCCCCTTTACTAAAAATGTTCAAAAAGAACCTTAAAACCTGGCTCTTCTGCTGCGCCTTTGGTGAGTAGGTGCACAACATGACATTTTGCACCCCTCAACGATTTTTTCGCTACTGGAGCTCGCGCCCCCCCAAATTGGAAGCTTAGCCTCACAACTTTATGTGTTTTATGAGTTCCTCGTAAATGTCCTGCTCCTATTTTATCTCATTACAGTCTTTTGATTGTTTTATCTTGTATATGTGGCCCACCCATTATTATCGTTATTGTGATTGTGTTTATTAGAATGTTATTTATGACTGTGGGTTTTTTTTGTTTGTTTTTTTCCTTATGTAATTTTGATGATGTTGTTGTTTGTCGTTTATGCTCTGATTTCATTGCTGTAATAAGTTGTCCGGGCTTGGACCCATGTAAGCTGCTCCAAGTCCCCATTGGGGAGATGGTGGCGGGGTATAAATAAAGTTTATTTATTATTCAATGGATGCGTTCTAGTTAGAACAGGATTCTATGGATTTGGTGTCAGTTATCTAGCACAAGTCTTCACCCACAGGGTATGGGCCTAGGGAATCAAAGATCAAATCCAGAAGTCTCTCACCAGTTACTTTTCCAGGTATGCCGGACATCAGGGTCGCCAATCTGTCTCCGTTCTGCCTGCTCATCCAGGAAATCAAACATGTATTTGATGGGCAGGGGGAGGGCACTGGCCCGGTGGGCTGTGCTGAACACAGTTTCAAACAGGTCATCTACAAATTTCTGCAATGTGCCCTATGAAGCAAGAGGAAAACAAAAGCCTCTAGGAAATGTATTTTTCAGGTGGAAGGAAAAAACCAAAGGCTATAATTGGAAGAGCCTAGTCGTATTACATCAATCTCATCCTCACCTTGCTAAGATGTACCAAACTGAACCAATTTGAAATGAGAAGAGACAACTAGCACAGCAGTATTCAAAAAGTCAATCTCCTCCAAAGACCAATATCAGAACAATTGTCAGGCAGAAGGCAAACAACAATTGAGGGCCTCGTGAACTGTGCCTTTGAGGCTGCTATCTGGTTGCTGTTTTAAAAATCCTTTATCTATCCTACAGAGACAATCCAAAATAATACTTGGGCTTCAAAAACTCCCGAGAGATTCAAAAGTATCATTAAATCAGGCATGTGAGTTACCACAAAAAGAAAATTATTCCACATGCAAAATTCTAGGACATTTGATATCGGCTGCTTTGTGTCCCATTTGGGAAGATAAAGCAGGGTATAAATAAATATAATACTACAACTACTAATAATAATAATAATAATAATAATAATAACAACAATAATAATAATAGGATTTAAAGATCGAACTGCAAAGACTGTGGCACAAGCCAGTCAAGGTGGTCCTAGTGGTGATCGGCACACTGGGTGCAGTGCCTAAAGACCTTGGCCTGCACTTAAACACAATTGGCGCTGACATAATTACCATCTGCCAGCTGCAGAATGCCACCTTACTGGGATCTGCACACATTATTCACCGATGCATCACACAGTCTTAGACACTTGGGAAGAGTCTGACGTGTGATCCAATACAACAGCCAATACTCCCTGTCCAAAATGATCTCAGAAGCACTTTAGTTTATGGCTCGTGCAATTTAATCCTTGTGTATACTGTGTCTACTGTTTGTTTGTTTTTTTGTCGTGTCAGGAGTGACTTGAGAAACTGCAAGTTGCTTCTGTTGTGAGAGAATTGGCTGTCTGCAAGGACGTTGCCCAGGGGACGCCCGGATGAATTGATTTTTTTATCATCCTTGTGGGAGGCTTTTTTCATGTCCCCACATGAGGAGCTGGAGCTGATAGAGGGAGCTCATCCGGCTCTCCCCGGATTTGAACCTGTGACCTGTTGGTCTTCAGTCCTGCCAGCATAGGGATTTTACCCACTGCGCCACCGGGGGCTTTTTGTGTCTACTGTGTTGATGGCCATGGCCTCATGTAAGCCGCCTCGAGTACCCCTGGGGGAGATGGAGCGGGGTATAAATAAAGTATTATTATTATTATTATTATTATTATTATTATTATTATTAACACAACAAAATGAGTCCAGAGCAGGCACTATAATAATAATAATTATAAATAACTATTATTATTATATTATATTATATTTATTTATTTATTTATACCCCGCTCCATCTCCTCCAGGGGGACTTGGGGTGGCCACGTCCATCAACACAATAGACACAGTATATATGAAACATAAAATGCAAAAACCAATATAAAAAACAACACAGCAATATAAAATAAAAACATCAAACACAAGAAATTCCACAGGGCAGGGCCACTTCAGAATAAAAATTTAAAAACAATGGGAAATAGGCAATGTAGGATTGTCATGACGGGGAACCGGGATGAAAAAAGGATTTAATTGCACGAGCCATAAACTAAAGTGCTTCTGAGGTCAATTTTTTACTTATTGGTTATTATTATTATTATTATTATTATTATTATTATCATCATTATTATAGTGTGCTGTGGACTCATTTTGTTGTGTTTCAAATAATAATAATAATAATAATAATAATAATAATAATTACTATTATTATTATTATCATTATTATAGTGTCTGCTGTGGACTCATTTTGTTGTGTTTCAAATAATAATAATAATAATTACTATTATTATTATTGTTATCATTATTATAGTGTCTGCTATGGATTCATTTTGTTGTGTTTCAAATAATAATAATAATAATAATAATTACTATTATCATTATTATAGTGTCTGCTGTGGATTCATTTTGTTGTGTTTCAAATAATAATAATAATAATAATAATAATTACTATTATTATTATCATTATTATAGTGTCTGCTGTGGACTCATTTTGTTGTGTTTCAAATAATAATAATAATAACCAATAAGTAAAAAATTGAGATGAAGAGATGAAAAACAGATCAAAGATCAGCTTCCTTCAGCAAAGCACAACCACTCTTGCACTGGAATTCATCTTGAGATCCTCAGTTTTCCTAAATATGTTACTCCTAACCAGGTCCGTAGCCAGGATTTTGATTCGGGGGGCAGGGGGGGGGGCTGAGTTTGATTCGGGGGGGGGGGCTGAGTCTGGGTGAAAGAGGGTCTACCCTAGCAAACCTTTTGTATTACCCTAGCCGCATATGGGATATATTGAGATGGTGATCAGATCATGATATTAATAAACATAACAGTTTAAATAATGACCAGTAAGGCCTTCTCGTGGACCACCATGAGAATTTCGGGGGGGGGGCTGAAGCCCCTATAGCCCCCCCCCCCCCCCCCCCCCCCCCCCCCCGGCTACATGCCTGCTCCTAACACTGTCCCAGCTGCTGCTGGACTCTCCTTTTTGGGCTGCTTCCATAATAACCTCCACTGATATCAAGTCCTTTCAAAGCTCCACAGGCTTTCATGTGAGCACACCTGCACTTTAATATAAACCAGGTTTACACCCATTTAAAAGGTTGGTGCTTCTCCCAAAGGAACAATAAAATTGTGGTTTACAAGGATGTGAACAGCATGACAGCATATTATCAATATGTAAGCTAGCCAAATGTTGAATTGCAGCAATATGCCTGTATCAATTGATAAGAGTGAGAGACTGCATGCATATGTGTGTGTGTGCAAGTGTCTGCATTTCCAGACTGATGGCTCAACTATCCTATCTTTTTTGAGAGAGAAGGGAGGAAAGAATCAGTGAGAAAGCACAGGAGGGTAAGGAGTAGATGATTCCACCATCTGGATGAGATGATCATGCAATAAAAACTTCAGTTGGAAACACCCAATCTCCTACAATAACAGCACAGCTCAGCCACTAAGTGACACCTGGATTGCTTCTCACTAGCAGATAATTTACTGCGCTGGCTTTGCCAGAGGATTTAATGACATGGCATTTCACTTTGTGTCAATTAAGTATCTGGACTGAATTTAGATGTCAGCTGTTAAAGAACTGGTTTACCACATGGGCCAGATCAGTGGAAACAAAGAGCATGTTTCTGTAACCCAGACAGGACGTGGTTTGAAGGGCGCCCTGTTCAGCAGGCAAACTCAAAAAATCTATAATAGTGGAAGGTTGGATAGCACTGACTGTGTAAAGACGGAAACAAGGATAACATTGGGGAAATGGGTTGCTGTAGGTTTTTTCGGGCTATATGGCCATGGTCTAGAGGCATTCTCTCCTGACGTTTCGCCTGCATCTATGGCAAGCATCCTCAAAACCCTGTACGATTCCGGTCCAGTGTATCTGTCCGAACGTATCTCCCTCTACGTCCCACCCCGGAGTCTGAGATCATCTGGGGAGGCCCTGCTCTCGACCCCACCACTGTCACAAGTGAGGCTGGTGGGGACGAGGAGCAGGGCTTTCTCAGTGGTGGCCCCTCACCTGTGGAACTCACTTCCGGGGGAAATCAGGGCATCATCATCCCTCCTCGTCTTCAGGAGGAGGGTGAAGACGTGGTTATGGGACCAGGCCTTTGGGCACTCTGGCAATTAAATCAGATAATCAGGCGAGTAAGGACCAACAGGATTGATGAAGTGAAACGTAAAACTAGATCTATGAGTTAGCGAACGCTGACCATGTAAGAGGAGAAATTGGGTTTGTATTGGTTTTTATTGATTTTATGGTTATAATGCATGAATTGTTATTAACTGTGAATTGATGTAATTTTGTGTATGATTGTTTTATGATGCAGGCATCGAATTGTGCCTTTGCCTTTGTAAGCCGCCCTGAGTCCCCTTCGGGGTGAGAAGGGCGGGGTAAAAGAACCCCAAATAAATAAATAAATAAATAATAGTGAGGATGCTTGCCATAAATGCAGGTGAAACGTCAGGAGAGAATGCCTCTAGAACATGGCCATATAGCCCAAAAAAACCTACAACAACCCAGTGATTCCAGCCATGAAAGCCTTCGACAATACATTGGGAAAATGTCTTCTTAGGAATTTTTTTAAAAGGTGGGGGTTACAAAAATGATAAAAGAGGAGAAACGAACATACTGCTCCTTAGCCATTGTTAGACTACTCCAGGTCCCATTATCTTTGACAACTGGCCTTGCTAACTGGAGCTGAAGGAAGCTGGCTTCCAACAATATCTGAAAAGCCATATGTTCCTTTTTCCAGCAATAAAGCATCAAGGGAGATCAAAATCCTTAGTATTTCAAACCTAGATAAGAAACAAACATTGAAACCATTCCTCAAAGGAAGAAAAGATGTTAGAAGGATCTATTCATTACTTCTATGCAGGTAACCTATGTAAGAGTTTAAATACACTGGGTTGTTGTGGTTTTTTTGGGCTGTATGGCCATGTTCTAGAGTAGTGTTTCTCAACCTGGGGGTCGGGACCCCTGGAGGGGTCGCCAGGGAGTGTCAGAGGGGTCGCCAAAGCTCATCAGAAAACAGTATATTCTGTTGATCATGGGGGTTCTGTGTGGGAAGTTTGGCCCAATTCAATCACTGGTAGGGTTCAGAATGCTCTTTGATGGTAGGTGAACTATAAATCCCAGCAACCACAACTCCCAAATGTCAAGGTCTGTTTCCCCCAAACTCCACCACTGTTCTTATTTGGTCATACCGGGAACTCATGCCAAGTTTGGTCCAGATCTATCATTGTTTGAGTCCACAGTGCTCTCTGGATGTAGGTGAACTACAACTCCAAAACTCAAGGTCAATGCCCACCAAACCCTTCCAGTATTTTCTGTTGGTCATGGGAGTTCTGTGTGTCAAATTTGGTTCAATTCCATCATTAGTGGAGTTCAGAATGCTCTTTGATTGTAGGTGAATTATAAATCCCAGCAACTACAACTCCCACGGGATAAAATCAATCCTCCCCACCAACCCTACCAGATTTGGACGTATTGGGTATTTGTGCCCAATCCGGTCCAGTGAATGAACGTACATCCTGCATTCCAGATATTTACATTACAATTCACAACAGTAGCAAAATGACAGTTATGAAGTAGCAACAAAAATAATTTAATGGTTGGGGGGGGGGGGGGGGGGGGGGGGGGGGGGGGTCACCATAACACGAGGAAGTGTATTAAGGGGTCATGGCATTAGGAAGGTTGAGAACCACTGTTCTAGTGGCTACCTCTGAGGATGCTTGCCATAGATGCAGGCGAAACGTCAGGAGAGAATGCCTCTAGAACAGTGGTTCTCAAACTGGGGTCCCCAGATGTTTTTGGCCTTCAACTCCCAGGAATCCTAATAGCTGGTAAACTGGCTGGGATTTCTGGGAGTTGTAGGCCAAAAACATCTGGGGACCCCAGGCTGAGAACCACTGCTCTAGAATATGGCCATATAGCCCAACAAAAACCTACCACAACCCAGTGATTCCGGCCATGAAAGCCTTCGACAATACATAGCTTAAATACAATTATCCCACCTCTGCAAAAAGAAGATACATTAAGTAATGGACCACGCAGTCTGGGGAAATTGTGTACAGCCTCTTGCTGTTGAGTGTTTTACGGTTGTTTGGGAATTATGAGCCCTTCCAAAATCCAAGCTACAATTCCCAACCTAGCAAAGCCAACGATGAAAAATGCTGGGAGTTGCGGCCCACCCACGGTTATGCAGAGAATATCCAGTCTGCCAAAAGACTCCCTTCCTGCCATACCTTAGTGGCAAGGAGTCGGGTGAGGTAGATTTCAGACACCATCTTGCTCCCTCGTTCCCCTTCCTTGGGATCTCCGAGATGCTCGTGGTTCTTGACCAGATGCCAGAGACGGGTGCCTGAATCTTGGTCTGGAGTGAGGATGGGGGCTCTGGAGCGCAAGCTCTCTGGGCTGCTGGAGGTACGCAGCAAACTCTCTGTTGACAGGGGATGGGAGAGGGGATAAAAAAGAAGAAAGAGTAGCTACTTTGAGGTGAGGACCAAGTGCCTCCTTTCAGGCTTCCTCAGAAGTTCCATCTTACATTGAAATAGGATTGCATTCCTTCAGAATTCATCAGGACAGAGCAGCAGAACTCGTGGGCTGGAAATACCAGAGCTATCACCATCACTATTTGGCACAAGCCTGGTCACATGTATTTGCTTCCTCTCTACATTTTTGCTTCTCCTCCAACCACAGAGCCACAGGACGGGCATGGCTGTCAAATTACAGGCGCTCCATCCCTGGAATAGCAGCCGTAATTACAGGCAGGACAGAGCAGTGCAAACAGAAAGTTAAAAAATAAAAGCGATTTGGACGTGGCAACAACCCTCCTCAAAGGGTTGATCATAGTGCCATTTGGGTTGACAAGTGACAGGGAGAACAACCCACGGAGAATCACAGGAGTGATGAGTCCTTAGGCATACATACTAAAGAGAAAACACGAACATCCCAAGCAAGCAAGGACTCAGTCAGCAGCATATAAGAACATACATAAAACAAATACTGCAGAACTCCTGACTGCACACAGTTCCATTCCCAGATTATAGGGATTTAGACATGGAGTGTAACTTTGATACATTGGCATAAGTATCTGAGCCAGAGTGAAGACAGGGGAGGCCAGGGGACAGTTCCACCTTGTCTCCTGTGCTATGCTAATATATAATATAATATAATATAATATAATATAATATAATATAATATAATATAATATAATATAATATAATATAATATAATATAATATAATATAATATAATATAATATATTGTATATACATTTAATATTTATAATATTATAATGTAATGTAATACAGTATAATAAAAGGTAAAGGTTGTCCCCTGACATTAAGTCCAGTCATGTCTGACTCTGGGGTGTGGTGCTCATCTCCATTTCTAAGCCAAAGAGCTGGCGTTGTCCATAGACACCTCCAAGGTCATGTGGCTGGCATGACTGCATGGAGCGCCCTTACCTTCCCGCCAGAGTGGTACCTATTGATCTACTCACATTGGCATATTTTTCGAACTGCTAGGTTGGCAGAAGCTAGGGCTGACAGCGGAAGCTCACGCCGCTCCCCGGAATTAAACCTGCGACCATTCGGGTCAACAAGCTCAGCAGCTTGTATAATACTAATAATAATAATATGATATTATAATTATATATTTATATAATTATATATACATATGATATTATAATTATATATTTTATATTACATGTAATATTACGAAGAATATTACAATATAATTGTATAGTAGAATATAGTGATGTATAGCACTGTTATTGTACTGTGCTAATGGTATAAGGTATTGTAAATATGTGTGTGTGTGTATATCTTGTAAGCTGCTCTGAGTCCCCTTCGGGGTGAGAAGGGCAGCATATAAATGGTGCAAATAAATAAATTAATTAAATACATCAGGAAAGACTCGGTGGAGTCAGAAAAAGAAGATCCCAAATGTCAGTCAAAGTCACGTTGCTAAAAGAGATCAAACACAATAAGCATATCTTAGTTTAGATTGGCTGGGAAGATATGCAAGCATGGAAGTGAGGTGATCACTTCATTGACATTCATCTGCAGAATCTAATCATCTGCTGGGGATGCTTTAACTGTGAGTTTGGACAGAAGGTTAGACCTCATTCTAAGCCTCTGCCCAAACTCAGAGGGGCAGAAGGTCCACAGGGCTCCTTCTAACTCTAAGATTTTAAGGGTTAACCACTGTGCAAGCATTATTTTCATCTTAAGTCTGCATGTGGGTTGTTTTTCACCTTTGATTTAAAACCCTCCTAATAGATACATCCTCTGTTCATGTCCAGCATCTTTTAAAAAGTTTTTAACTATTATATTTGGCCCAGCCATAGGTTTTTAAATTCTTGTGTGTTATTGTCTATTTCTAAGTTATATTGATTGTATTGTTTATTTTGTTTATTGCTTGTTGTTTTGATGTGTTTTGGGGCTTGGCCTCATGTAAGCCACTCCGAGTCCATTATTATTATTATTATTATTATTATTATTATTATTATTATTACTATTATTATTATTATGTGCTACAGTCCAGTACAAATGAAGGAAAAAACCACAGGCAAAAAAAGCTAACCTCCATAGACTATTTCCCCTTCCTGTTTCAAAAAGCTTTTAATTTATGGTTACGCTTGTGTCCTTAGAGGTGTATGGCAATGATGGATGAAATCTCAGGGACAAATGATTAAAATTTCTAGTGGTTGGAAGACTATTAAACAAAAATGGGGAAAATGTATCAATGCTGAACTTGCCCTGATGTCTCTTAGTAGACTTCTGTGCTATGTTGCTGAATAAAAAGAGGCAGTATACACAAGTCAGTCAATAGAGCCAAGAATCAGCACTGGGTGACAGAACGGAGAATGGGAAGTGTCTACAGGGTTTGCCATTCCTTACCATAGCGGCTCAGAGAGTGGGTGAAAGTGAAAGAGCTGGCAATATTGTAGCCCGATGCCTGCCTAGGAACCAGTGCCACTGCGGAGCCATCTGCTACCTGCACATTGGATTGCAGGAATGGCAGGGGTGGAAAACATGGGGTTGCAGGAAAGGGTGGGAAAAGAAATCACAACAAGAACAGAGCAAGCATTACTATACAGCATTTCAAATGTTCAGTGCATTTCCCATACATTATATTTGGAGTAATTTAAATCTCCAGAATTTGAGATAAGGCAGCGTTATGGCCCACATACTGGGGAAAGAGCATATGCATACATACACAGCTTAGTCTAGAACAGTGGTTCTCAATGTGTGCGTCCCCAGGAGTTTTGGCCTTCCACTCCCAGAAATCCTGGGAGATTTCTGGGAGTGGAAGGCCAAAACATCTGGGGACGCACAGGTTGAGAACCACTGGTCTAGAAGAAAAGTCGGTTGAACGAGAGTCCGTTGTCTCAGGACGGGGACAAAAGAGCTGGACAGGATACATACAGCTTTATACACTATGCTTCTATCATAACATGAAATAACAGAGCTAGATTAATCATTCAGAAGGCAGACAACTCTGAAGCATTCAAAAATGACACAGAATGGCCTCTGAGGCAAACTACATTCAGGGGCTCTTTCTACACTGTCATATAAAATCCAGATTATCTGCTTTGAAGTGGATTATATAACAATGTAGACTCATATAATCTAGTTCAAAATGGACAACATGGATTATCTGATTGGGCAATCTGGATTATATGGCAGTGTAGAAGGGGTGATGGTCTTTCCTTTGCCAGCACATTTTGCAACCCCATCCACCACATTTAGTTGACTCTCAAAATCTTTAAATCAGGGGTCCTCAAACTTTTTAAACAGAGGGCCAGGTCAGAGTCCCTCAAACTGTTGGAGGGCCGGATTATAATTTGAAAAAAAAAATGAATGAATTCCTGTGCACACTGAACATAGCTTATTTGTAGTGCTTTTTATTTAATTATTACTTTGTTAAGTTATAATTCGTATTTATATGTTGGGTTGTATAAATTTTGTTAGCATTGATGTATTGTTAAGGAACTTAAGATTGTCTGGAGAGGCCCTGCTTTCGATCCCGCCTACTTCGCAGGCATGTCTGGCGGGGACGAGAGGCAGGGCCTTCTTTGTGGTGGCCCCCCGGCTGTGGAACTCCCTCCCTCCTGACCTTCCAAAAAAGAGTAAAAACTTGGCTCTTTGAGCAAGCATTCGGAACCCCAGAGTAAACAGACAAACTAGAGTTGGAAATTGACCCAGGAACGGCCAAGACAATGTAACGGATGAAGATTTGAACAAGAGGACATAGTTTCTTTTAAAATTGTTTATTATGCACTGTCATTTATGTTTAATTGCACTTGATGTTTTTGCTTTATTAATGTATGTATTTTGTTTCGGCATCGAATTGTGCCTAAGTCGCCTTTGGGCTGAAATGGGCGGGATAGAAATAATGTAAATAAATATATAAATAAATAGTTGTATTTGGGCATTGAATGTTTGCCTTTTATGTTTGGAATCCGCCCAGAGTCCCTTTGGGGAGATAGAGCGGAATATAAATAAAGTATTATTATTATTATTATTATTATTATTATTATTATTATTATTATTTAAAAACAATAAAATAATTAAAATGAAGAACAATTTTAACAAATATAAACTTATTAGTATTTCAATGGGAAGTGTGGGCCTGCTTTTGGCTGATGAGATAAGATTGTTGTTGTTGTGTGCTTTCAAATTGTTTCAGACTTAGGTTGACCCTGAGCGAGGGCCAGGTAAATGACCTTGGAGGGCCATATCCAGCCCCGGGCCTTAGTTTGAGGACCCCTGCTTTAAATGGTGTTCAAAGCAGTATTTTTTCTGGGAAAATCCCTGCAGAATATGTAACAGTCACTACCTTTTGAGCTCTCTTTAACAGCAAAAGGAAGCCAAGCCTGACCACTCCAAAAGACTCCTGCATTTTCTATGTTTCACAGCTCCAAGCTAAGGCACACACATTTATTAGGACAGATAGTTAATCTGGTTGCAAGATGGATGAGAAATACAGCTACCTGATAATGCCCGAGGGTGTTGAGACGCTTCCAGTCTCCTTCAATTTTACTTGTGGCATCCTCATCCTGCAGGACAGTCCGGCCCCCGTTGCCCTGACACCACTCTGGAATGAAAAGAAAAGCCCATGAGGTAAAGGGTGGCTTTATAGATGCATCCCATGTTCCCCCTTTTCTTTATAACTTAAGACAAGACTTCCAAGTTTTACCATGCTCCCAAATCCATACCCAGCTCCATGTCCTCAGCGCGTGGGCGCTGTGAGTAGGGCCCCCCTCGGTACACAGCATCCAGCAACTTCTCCTTCACTTGTGTCACCGAATCACAATTTAACACCTTGACAGGCACCGCAGGGCCCCCAGGTGGCTCAGGTGGGGTACATAACAGTGTCTAGGAAAAGAAATAAATTGCTAATTTTTCAGTCACCACAGTGCTGAGGTTCATACAATCCTCCATTGGGTACAGAAATGTTTTCCAGTGCTCTCTGAGTTTCATCTTATCTCTTACAGCTTCAGTTTCTGAGCAGCACTGACCATTAGACTTCTAGGATGTTCATGCAACCCCACATGTAGATTAAAAAAATGTTTTTATTATTTTATCATGGTTCAATACATTTGTTATACATTTGTATTTTACACCATGCTGGTCGCTTCTGTGGCGAGAGAATCAGCCGTCTACGAAGACGTTGCCCAGGGGACGCCCGGATGTCTTGCAATCCTGTGAGGAGGCTTCTCTCAGAAGAACGGTCTGCCTCAGGGGAGCGTGCTTGCTCCATCCATGTTCAACATCTTACACAAATGACCAGCCACTGCCAGAAGGGACAGAGAGTTTCACCTATGCTGATGATCGTGCCATTACTGCTCAAGCAGGGAGCTTTGAGATGGTAGAACAGAAGCTCTCCGAAGCTCTAGGTGCTCTTACTGCCTATTACAGGGAAAACCAGCTGATCCCTAATCCATCTAAAACACAGACATGTGCCTTTCATCTCAAGAACAGAGAAGCATCCCGAGCTCTGAGAATCACCTGGGAAGGAATCCCACTGGAGCATTGCAGAGCACCCAAATATCTGGGAGTTCTCTGACCTCTGACCTCAAGAAGCACTGCCTGAATCAAGCAAAAAGTGGGTGCTAGAAATAACATAAATACAAAGCTGACTGGCACAACCTGGGATCACAACCAGAGACAGTGAGAGACATCTGCCCTTGCGCTATGCTCTGCTGCTGAGTACGCATGCCCAGTGTGGAACACATCTCACCACTAAAACAGTGTGGCTCTTAATGAGACATGCCGCATTATCACGGGGTGTCTGCGCCCTACACCACTGGAGAAATTACACTGCTTAGCCGGTATTGCACCACCTGACATCTGCCGGGAAGTAGCAGCCAATAGTGAAAGGACCAAGGCAGAGACATCTCCAGCTCATCCCCTGTTTGGATATCAGCCAGCACGTCAACAACTTAAATCTAGAAATAGTTTTCTAAGATCTACAGAGACACTCGCTGGAACACCTCAGCAAGCGAGAGTCCAAAAGTGGCAGGCTCAAACCCAGAACCTCAACCAATGGCTGATACCAAATGAGAGACTCCCCCCTGGGCACACAGAGGACTGGGCAACTTGGAAGGCGCTGAACAGACTGCGCTCTGGCACCACGAGATGCAGAGCCAACCTTCAGAAATGGGGCTACAAAGTGGAATCCTCGACATGCGAGTGTGGAGAAGAGCAAACCACTGACCACCTGCTGCAATGCAACCTGAGCCCTGCTACAAGCACAATGGAGGACCTTCTTGCAGCAAAACCAGAAGCACTCCAAGTGGCCAGATACTGGTCAAAGGACATTTAATCAACTACCAAACTCACAAATTTTGTATTTTGTCTGTTTGCTTGCTTTGTTCTGTTAGAAATGTAATATAATTTGACTGGTTGTCCTGACACGACAAATAAATTTTACAGCACATACATATTATTCAACTCAATCTACCATACTTTAACTTTTGGCAACTAGTGTTATTTTTCTGCTTATACATATTATCTATCCCTCACTGCTGTGCTTATAATATTAATAAATAATAAAACATTATTTGTACCCCGCTACCATCTCCCCAAGGGACTTGGTGCAGCTTACATGAGGCTTACATGAGGCCGAGCCCACAATACAATGCTTCCCTTCCCCCCCCCAAGCCACAGCTTTTATATATCATCTGTCCAAAATTTCAATTCTTCTTGTGGAGGTAACTTTCTGTCTTTCTTTTTGAATCCCTTTTCAATAAATGTTCTCCATACATCATCAAAAGCACTTTGTTTCCATATCCGTACTAACTTTTAATTTACATGTCAGCTTATTATTTATTGCCAATTTCCTTATACCACTCCTCTATTTGTATATTTATTTCTCTTTTCCAGTTCCTTGCTATAAGCAGTCTTGCTATTGTTAATAAATTGGTTATCACATCTTTATCCTCTTTTTTCAATTGTTTATTATTATATAATGATAATAAAGCTATACTAGGACTTCTTTCTATTTTAATGTTCATTATATCTTCTATTTCTCTAAATACTTTCCCCCCAAAATTACGTATTTACATTGCCACCACATATGTATATATGTTCCTGATTTTTGGCATCCTCTCCAGCAATTTTTTAGTAGTTTTTATTTATATTTGCTATTCTTACTGGTGTTAGGTACCATTTCCAATTTTCTTTAACCCGTATTGATAATTTTTTTAGATGTCTTTGTCTCCATAATTGTTGCCATTCTGTTTCATTTATTTTTATCCCTAAATCTTCTTCCCAGACCTCCTTGAGGGTGTTATTTTTTGTTTTTCCTTTCTTTATTTCAATTATTATCTTATATACTTTACTAGTTACTCCTTTCAAACTTTCATGCTCCTCTACAGCACTTCCATTTTGTATCATTTGTTCAAGTTGGTTAAGCTTACTTCCATTTCTATTATTTTTTCCCCAATTTTTGTTCTAATTGTGTACAATGGGACCATGTCAAATGTATTTCTTTAAATTCTCCCATAATCATTTCCTTCTTCATTCCAACATTTTTCCAATCCCCTATGTAGATTTCGAAGACATTTTGTATGTTAAATCTTTAGTGTCAAGCAAATATAGACATAGTGCAGTACACTGGTTCTTGTCAAAAAGCAAACTGAGAACATCCAGTGCTTATTGTCTCCAAGCACACGAAAAAACTGTTTTCTTTCTGAGCCCTGAAACTGCTCCCAACCCCATTCCCATAAATATAGGAGCTTCCAATATTAGCACCATTAACCTCATCTTTCTCTGTTCCATTCCACAGCTCTATAGTACTTTACACAATGTGTTTTCCATTGCATAGTATACAGTTTTCAGCTTTAATAAGCTTCCTTTAATGTTTAGATAGCTGACCCTATACAACATATTTGTTGTAAAATGAGCTTGCTAGTCTAACCCAGTCCTCCAAGCACAAAGACTGAAAGCTAGAGTGGCAAACTTGTGGGTGTGTTTCTGGAACGACTCATTAGCAACAGAGAGTTGGATCTATGCTGATGATCATGCCATTACCACTCAAGCAGGGAGCTTTGAGATGGTTGAAAAGAAGCTCTCCGAAGCTCTAGGTGCTCTTACTGCCTATTACAGGGAAAACCAACTGATCCCTAATCCATCTAAAACACAGACATGTGCCTTTCACCTTAAGAACAAACAAGCATCCCGAGCTCTGAGGATCACCTGGGAAGGAATCCCACTGGAGCATTGCAGCACACCCAAATACCTGGGAGTCACTCTGGACCGTGCTCTGACCTACAAGAAGCACTGCCTGAACATCAAGCAAAAAGTGGGTGCTAGAAACAATATCATACGAAAGCTGACTGGCACAACTGGGGATCACAACCAGACACAGTGACGGCATCTGCCCTTGCGCTGTGCTACTCTTGCTGCTGGTATGCATGCCCAGTGTGGAACACATCTCACCACACTAAAACAGTGGATGTCTTAATGAGACATGCCGCATTATCACGGGGTGTCTGCGCCCTACACCACTGGAGAAATTACACTGTTAGCCAGTATCGCACCACCTGACATCCGCTGGGAAGTAGCAGCCAATAGTGAAAGGACCAAGGCAGAGACATCTCCAGCTCATCCCTTGTTTGGGTATCAGCCAGCACGTCAATGACTTAAATCAAGAATATAGTTTTCTTAGATCTACAGAGACACTCGCTGGAACACCTCAGCAAGCGAGAGTCCAAAAGTGGCAGGCCCAAACCAGCACCTCAATCCATGGGTGATACCAGATGAGAGACTCCCCCCTGGGCACACAGAAGACTGGGCGACTTGGAAGGCGCTGAACAGACTGCGCTCTGGCACCACGAGATGCAGAGCCAATCTTAAGAAATGGGGCTACAGGGTGGAATCCACGGCATGCGAGTGTGGAGAAGAGCAAACCACTGACCACCTGCTGCAATGCACCCTGAGCCCTGCCACATGCACAATGGAGGACCTTCTTGCGGCAACACCAGAGGCACTCCAAGTGGCCAGCTACGGTCAAAGGACATTTAATTAACTACCAAGTTTGCAAAATCTGTGTTGTTTTTTAATCTGTTTGTTTGTTTTGTTCTGTTAGAAATGTAATACAATGGTATGGTTGCTGATGACATGATAAATAAATAAATTAGCAACCAGGACAACAAGAAAGCAAAAGGCCATCATCACAGCACTTTAAGCTCACCAAGGTCTTGTAATCAATCTGCTGGCGAATAAGCTTGTCCTCGCTCAGCGAGTAGCGTGCTTCACCTGTGATGGCATCTATTGGGCCTTTCTCCATTTGCTGCTTGATGGCACAGAAGAGCATAAATAATGGTTCTCCAGCACACTCCTGGGGAATGAAGAGACAGGGTCACAGGCAGCAAGGGATGGAGGATGATATCTCATTCCAGGTCAAACTGTTTATGCATCTAACCCAATATATAGTCTGCTCTGATTGGTGCAGGTTTATCACATCACTTGCTACCTCCTCACTATTTTAAACTGGGCAAATCATTATTAAACCTTCTGTACACAAAGAAGGCATTTGGGCCAATGAGATATAGATCCTCCCTCCTTGTTGTGTACTTCAAAACTTTTCCAACAAAGGCAAACTGATTGTGGTGATCATAGAATCATAGAATAAAAGAGTTGGAAGAGACCTCATGGGCCATCCAGTACAACCCCATTCTGCCAAGAAGCAGGAATATTGCATTCAAAGTACCCCTGACAGATGGCAATCCAGCCTCTGTTTAAAAGCTTCCAAAGAAGGAGTCTCCACCACACTCCGAGGCAGAGAGTTCCACTGATGAATGGCTCTCACAGTCAGGAAGTTCAGATGGAATTTCCTTTCTTGTAGTTTGAAGCCATTGTTCCGTGTCCTAGTCTCCAGAAGCAGAAAACAAGCTTGCTCCCTCCTCCCTGTGACTTCCTCTCACATATTTATACATGGCTATCATGTCTTCTCTCAGCCTTCTCTTCTTCAGGTTAAACATGCCCCACTCTTTAAGCCGCTCCTCATATGGCTTGTTCTCCAGACCCTTGATCATTTTAGTCACCCTCCTCTGGACACATTCCAGCTTGTCAATATCTCTCTTCAATTATAGTGCCCAGAATTGGACACAATATTCCAAGTGTGGTCTAACCAAGGCGGAATAGAAGGGTAGTATTACTTCCCTGGATCTAGACACTATGCTCCTATTGATGCAGGCCAAAATCCCATTGGCTTTTTTTGCCGCCAAATCAGTTCCCAAATCTAGGGTTTTCACTCCCATTTTCCCAGAAGTACTGTTTCCCAGCCCCCATTAGAGTCTTGTTCTCATACAGAGGCCCTGTCTATGCTGGCCATTTGAAGCAGTTCAAAGCTAGGCTCAAACTACTGCGGCCAGACAACATCTGGGTCTCAAGCCAGTTCCAGGATTCCCTATGTAATCATCTGCACAGCAAAACCACTTTCTTCTATGCCAGTTTGAAACTATGCTCCCTTCTACATTGCCATATAACCCAGATCATCAAAGCAGATAAACCATGTTATCTGCTTTGAAATTGATCATATGAGTCCACACTGCCATATAATCTAGTTCAAAGCAGATAATCTGGATTTTATATGGCAGTGTACAAGGGGCCTACATTAAATAGTCAGTATAGATGGGGACAGAATAACTCTTCCTGGGCAGAACTCAAATGTATCCCATACTTTCCTACCTTGAGAAATCTGTGCAGCAGAAAGGTAAACCAATTTGTCAACATTTTTTCAGCCACTGACTCCGTCCTGTGAGTGGGAGATGAGGAGCAAAAGAAAAGAGAAAGCACACGTTTTTACAAGTGGTCTGCAGAATCCCTATTATTGATATATTGCCATAAGGAACCCTTCCTTATCATACATATAAGAAATGTGCCATCCCTTTCTGCCTATTGAGGGAACCTGGGCCCTCCAGATGTTGATGAGCTTCTAGTCCCAGCATCCTTTCCCACTGATCATGCTGGTTGGGTGAATTTCACTTGCAGCCTGGAGGGCCACAACACATCAACACTCTTTTGTACTGATTCTATTGCAGGGCCCAAGATATGGGGATACCTTCTCATTCCCTGCCCCAAATTATAGACAAAATTTGGAAGGGATCAGAGATGGTTGACTGGAAAGATAGGGGAAAGCAGCAGCAGAAAGGCTCATGCAGGGAACCTCACAAAATATTTGGGATGCTGCTGCAATGCTTAAGGTACAAAACAAGACATGCCATAGGACTGGCCTAATTCCTCAATAACATGATAGAGTCCTCCACCATTCCTAAAGGCAGCAGGGCAGCACAGAGAGTGAAGAACAGGCTGCTTAGCACTCAAATGATCTTGCTATCCAAGAGAAAAGAAGGGCCAAAACAGTCTGCAAGGGACAGAAGTTAACCTCTGGTTGCCATGTTGGTTGGGATATAACCAAAAACATTGCATAATGTTAGGCATAAGGTAACGGTGCTCCATGCAGTCATGCTGACAACATGACCCTGGAGGTGTCTACGGACAATGCTGGCTTTTCCGGCTTAGAAATGGAGATGAGCACGACCACCCAGAGTCGGACTTAATGTCAGGGGAAACCTTTACCTTTACCTAATGGGAGCCCCCGGTGGTGCAGTGGGTTAAACCCCTGTGCTGGCAGGACTGAAGACCGACAGGTCGTAGGTTCGAATCCGGGGAGAGGCGGATGAGCTCCCTCTATTAGCTCCAGCTCCTCATGTGGGGACATGAGAGACGCCTCCCACAAGGATGATTAAAAAAAATCAATTCATCCAGGCGTCCCCTGGGCAACGTCCTTGCAGACGGCCAATTCTCTCACACCAGAAGCAACTTGCAGTTTCTCAAGTCACTCCTGACACGACAAAAAAAAAGGAAAAGCCTAATGTTGGGGATGTGTGTGGCCAGTGGGATGGGGATCAGAAGGAATTGCCCCCTAATCCATTTATGGTAGCTCATTGAGAAAACAATGACAACATTGTTGACAGAATCAACAAAATGCTAATACAAGGGCCTTTAAAACTCTGGTAATATCTGGAGCATATTAGTGAGGCAACCCCTTGGACAATGCCAATGAACTTGTGCCAAAACAATAGCAGCATTAAATGGGGGAGCAGTGGGCTGGCAGGTGTCAAAATCGGCCTCTCACCGGCGGAGCAGGAGTTTTGGGTGGGCACGATTCTGCAGGTTCTTCTCAATGAGGTCAGCCAACAACTGCTTCAGCACCCCAGTTGCGTAGTCGAGCCTGCCCTGCAAGGCCACCATAGTCAAAGAAGCGACGGCCCCTCGGTCTCGCATGGAGAAGGCACGCTGGCCCTCCAATGTATGAATGAAGGTCAACAGGAAAGGCCGTGTGTGCAGCAGTTGCCCAAAGAGACGGAGACCTTTCTCTGTGCTTGGTGGGGTCTGTCAAGGTAAGAGGAAGACAGTGTTATAATCCACAAAGGTAGATGTAAATTAAAATATTCCTTGACCCTTTCCAACACACCCTAAAAAAAAGGAAGAGCAACTACTGAAGTGTCTTTGAAATTCTGGATGTCACATTTAGCTCCCACCTCTAAGAATATTAACTTTAACTGCTTTGCTACCCTGGGCTCAGGAAAGTGACTTTTCTGGACTACAATTCCAAAACATCATAAGCAAATAGTTGGAGAATTCTGGGAATAATAAGCCAAAAGTAGTTCTTCAAAGCCTCTGATCAGATCAAGGGATCTATGAAGGCTACCATTTTGTTTCCAACAGCAGTAAAATGCTGTTGGAAACCTCACAGAGGTTGTGAGGACCTCACTACCTCTGAGGATGCTTGCCATAGATGCAGGCGAAACGTCAGGAGAGAATGCCTCTAGAACATGGCCATACAGCCCGAAAAAACCTACAACAACCCAGTTATTCCGGCCATGAAAGCCTTCGACAATACAGCAGTAAAATGTATTTGGAAGATTAGAAGACCGACATGATAAAAGTACAAAATCCTAGTCATTTCTGCCCTGACGAGATTAGGCTATACACCGCTTTTCAATCTAAAGTTAAGCAAGACCTTCAGGGTGGGGATTTTATATTCTCATGTTGTTCTGTTGGAATGGGGAATGCTTTTGTCGCCCAGCAATCCTAACCAAAAAACTATGGGGAACACCAGGCTGCTCCTACATCTTTCTTTTTTTAATGTTTTTTTTTTCTGATCACAAAGAAGATAGAAGAAGTAGAGGCAAAACACAGATTAAAAATGAAAGACCATAATGTTTGTGCATACAAGACATCAATGGACACGTATACATTCCCCACCATACAATCCTATGGTGAAAACGAGGCAATTAAGACAACAAAGGCCTCATTTGGAAGCAGGTTAGGAAAAATATCTGAATGGGAAAGCAACAAAATGGAGAGGACCTAGGAGGGTAAATCACTTAACATGCAAAACAGTCAGAATGTAGATATCTGTCTGCAGTTCAGCGACTACTAAATCAGGAATTCTCACATCTGTCTTAAAGGGAGATTTCCTCATGCTTAACATCCTCTGGTCTCTCCCCTTTCTTTTAATGGTGAAGGCCCAAAACTCCACCACCGCCACCACCACCATGTCCTCCCATGCCTTGCACTCACACTGGTTTCTTGCAGTGCCGGGTGATCGTCCACCCCCGGGAAGAGCACACGCCTCGCATATGTCCGATAGTCCAGGAAAGGGATCTTCACTCCATCCATGTTATTTGTCAGCTCATTAATGTCTGTCTGCAGTTCAGCAAAAGCTGGAGAAGGTGGAGGACTGTCAAAAGCGCAAGGCTATAGGTGCACAGTGGGTGATCATCTTCACTGTGCCCCCTCCCCACCAGGGTTTTGACACTTGATGGAATCCACATCAGAAGCATGCACACCAAACCTGCCTTGCAATAGCCTTGCCAACTCAGAAGAGGACCCAATTGACATGCAACAATTGGGATGGGGAGGTGAGTCCCCACACGGGAACAGGAATACAGGCAATCACAGCTGATAGTTGTACATGGGTGTATTTTGGTAACACATTTGCACATGGGACAGGCATGCTCTAGGAACTTCGGTCAAAGTAAGTTATGGCTGTTGATGAAGCCAGATTCCCAGGGCTCCATGGAAACCATACTTCTCATTAGACACCAGAGTTAGATTTTCATGGCAGTTGCATTTTGGCAATGTTAATTTTTGGGACTTCAACTCCAATGTCAATGCTGACTGTTGGATTATGGGGAGGTGTAATCCCTCCTCCCCAAGTAATTCTTCTAAATTCCTATTATAGACAGATTCTCCAAAACTACTATCTTCCTTCTAAGCCTCACACACAAAGCTTTCCTCACTCCTAAAATATTTACACTGAGAAAGAGAACTACTCATAGGTACTTTCAACATCATTTCATAACAAAGTTACCTCAGCCTTATTCATCAGTGTATGGCTAATGGCTTTTTTTGTGTGTCAAATTTCCATTTACTCTGAAACTACACATTTTGAACTGATCAGTTTAGCAGGAGAGGTGAGCGGGTGGGATTTGGTGTTCTGCCTCACATAGCAAAATGTCTTGGACTGGCACAGGACTTTGAAGTACCTTCCATGATCGAAAGTTTTCACAGGACAGATGCATTCATCTGTTTCAGTATAATATTGGGTGGAAAAAATAATTTTGGGGCACCATTAGAACCTTGAAGAATAAATAATAATAAATTGGTCCGTCTCAAATTAGTTAGTCTTGAAGGTGCATCATGGGTCTGGAGAACAAGCCCTATGAGGAGCGGCTTAAGGAGCTGGGCATGTTTAGCCTGAAGAAGAGAAGGCTGAGAGGAGACATGATAGCCATGTAGAAATATGTGAGAAGCCACAGGGAGGAGGGAGCAAGCTTGTTTTCTGCTTCCCTGGAGACTAGGACACGAACAATGGCTTCAAACTACAAGAAAGGAGATTCCATCTGAACATGAGGAAGAACTTCCTGACTGTGAGAGCCGTTCAGCAGTGGAACCCTCTACCCCGGAGTGTGGTGAAGCCTCCTTCTTTGGAAGCTTTTAAACGGAGGCTGGATGGCCATCAGTCAGGGGTGATTTGAATGCAGTATTGTTTCTTGGCAGGGGGTTGGACTGGATGGCCCATGAGGTCTCTTCCAACTCTATGATTCTATGATTTTTTTTCCTTCCTTTTTATTGTAAACTAACTCTACCTGCCACGTGTTGCTGTGGTCAACCTTCCCTCCCTCGTTCTCTCCTTCTTTCCCTCCTTCCTTCGCTCCCTCCTTTTTTTCCTTTTTTTCTTTCCTTTTCTCCTTCCTTCCTTCTCTCTTTCATTCCTTCCCTTTTTCTTTTCCTTTCCTTCCTTCCACCCATTTACTTCCTTCTCACTCCCTCTCTCCCTCCGTTCTTTCTTTCCCTTCCTTTTCTCCTTCCTTCCTTCCTTCCTTCCTTCCTTCCTTCCTTCCTTTCTCTGCTTCCTTCCCTCGCTCCCTCCCTCTTCCTTCCCTTTTTTCTGAATCATCATTTAACTTTTTGTCATTTAGCTTTTTTGGGTTTTTAAGCCCTTCCCACTGTTTTTGGGAGGGTGGTTATGAGTGATGGTCACTCATTGGTCGGTTAGGGGTATAGTGTCCAAATTTTGTGTCAATTTGTCCAATGGTTTTTGAGTTATGTGAATCCCACAAACGAACATTACATTTTTATTTATATAGATATCTGCTCACAGTTGCATATAACAAAGTTCCCCAACCAAGTGTTCTCCAGTTGTCTCATCATATTGCAAATGGCTGGGGAATGACATGATCTACAGACCAAGACACCTAGAACACAGATTGAGGAAGGCTGTCATATAAATAGATAGGGGAGCCCATCCTGATTTATTGACCTACATAAAGCTGAACTGGAAAATCTTTGAGACTTCAGATGTTTTGAACTACAATTCCTATTCCCCTTTGCCACATTCTACCCCAGTGGTTCTCAACCTGTGGGTTTCCAGATATTTTGGCCTTCAACTCCCAGAAATCCTAACAGCTGGTAAATTCCTGGGATTTCTGGGAGTTGAAGGCCAAAACACCTGGGGACCCACAGGTTGAGAATCACTGTCCTAGATGGTGTTTATAGGAGCTGAAATTGAAACATCTAGAGTTAAATTGTTTCTCCACCACTTAAATAAAGCACTGTCTTCCTGTAAAAAAAAAAACCAGCAAAGTGTTTGAATTGTTCTCTTGTGAATGCATTTGATGTATTAGTTCCTCAACAAACATTTTGGCCCTTTCCATCTATGCACACAAGATTTCAAGAGTATCTCCTTAGGGTGTTGTGTGGTTCCTGGGCTGTATGATCCTCTGAAAATGCCAGACATAGATGCAGGCAAAATGTCAGGAGAAAATGCTGCTAGAATGCGGCCATACTACCCAGAAACCACACAACACCCCAGCAATTTCGGCTGTGAAAGCCTTCGACAATACAGTATCTTCTTGCTGTTACTCCTTGACACGAAGGAGGAGCTGAAATCTGAATAACTCTTTTTTTGACATACTTCTGTGGTGCATACTTGGCACAGATTGTAACAACACCAAAATTAAGACATTCCCCACTAAAGGCAAAACAGGAATAGCTGGAAGGTAGGTTCCAGTGTAATAGGACCACAATAAGCTATTTTCTTTATTAAAATGTGGTGCCTATCACTCAGAGAGGGCTGAAAATTTGAGGTTGACCTCCAATTCAAAACATACTGACGTAATTCATACTTTCCAGACAAATATGTGGATCACAGCATGTTATTATTTGGGCTGCATTCAAACTTTACACTATAGCCCTCAGCACACAAAACTGTGCATAAAAACATTTGTTATTAAATATTGCACTGTGTATATTAGAGGGAGCACGTGTACAAAAATAGACATCAAAGATCAAACTGCATGGATAATTGTGTACACATGGAGAAAATTACATACACAAAAAAAAACCCTGAATAGCAATGCATACTTTTTAAAAATTGCAGGTTGATACAGAAGCTATATGGAACAGACATGACTAAGTTGATTAAAAAGTGACAAAAAATAACCCATCCCTGCTGTCCTAACCAAATAGAGATATTCCTTACACTGAGACTGAGACCTAACTCTGACTTCCACATACTGTTCTCCAAACCAGAGCTTGGAAAAATCGCCTTTTGTACTAGCATTGCCAGAAACCATGAGCCGCTTTGACCACTGGCCATTATGGAAGCTGTGGTACAACACAGTTAGTTTTCAAACCTCTGTCCCGTAAAGCTGAGGCAATATTTGCTCAGCATACATTTCCATGTGGACACCACAAAGAAATACTGCCAGAGAAGGCATCAATCTTCCCAATCTTTTCCCAACCAACTTCAGGGGAAATGCCAAAGAGAACTGAGGACATGCAGAACAGCATTACAATGGTATCTTGCCCTTGGACCCAAGGCTGTGATAATGGCTTCCCCCAGTGACTTGCTGCAAGGGCCACTGCCATGCCTCCATCTCCCGCACTTCTTCAATACCTTCCTTGCACTCCAGGGCCACGCGAGACTCCAAGTTGTCCATTTGCAGCTGAAGGCGTTTCAAGGTACGGTCTGCGTCCCGGGTCTTGCGTTTATAGGCCACCAACACCCCGATGATTGCCCCCAACAGCAAGCTTCCTCCTGCTCCAAGCCCAACGAGAGCCGGTAATGGCAGGGCGGCCTCCGGATAGATATGAAGGGTCCCAGGGGAGAAGGACAAGCCCCCTACTAGGATCTGCAAGGGGGAAATATCCAGAGATTAAGCACTCCATTATCCCCCCTCTGCTGGATCAGATCACAGGTTGACTTACAGTCAATTTGATTGGCTGCCATTTTCAGCCTCAAAACAGGGCATGGAGTCCTCTCCTTTCACCCTCTTCGTTCTTATGATTCAAATGGCAGACTGTCTAGACTCCAGTATGCTGATGACAATGTCTGTGCGCATTCAGAAGCCACTCTAAACACCTTCGCAGAAGCACATGAGAAGCTTGGCCTGTCATTGAACATCGAGAAAACCAAAGTGCTCTTCCAGCAGTCACCAGTCAATCCCTCTCCAATGCCAGAGATACAGCTTAATGGTGTAACATTAGAAAATGTTGACCATTTCCGCTACCTTGGCAGCCACCTCTCCACCAAAGTCAACATCGACACCGAAATACAACACCGCCTGAGCTCTGCGAGTGCAGCATTTTTCCGAATGAAACAGAGAGTACAGAGAGGAAACAATCAGGCACATCAAATCACTCTCAACAAAAGATTCCCCCTAGGCAGTTCCAAGCCATTAAATGCTAATCAAGGTGGTCAGTTGAAACATTCACACCTAGCTCCAGCAGACAAAAGTCCTTTGTCCCACCCTGGTCATTCCACAGATATATAAACCCATTTTCCTACTTCCAACAGGCCTCACTACCTCTGAGGATGCTTGCCATAGATGCAGGCGAAACGTCAGGAGTGAATGCCTCTAGACCATGGCCATATAGTCCGAAAAAACCTACAAACCAGAATCCAGAAACGTGGACTGTCTACAGACGGCACATGCAACTCCTGGAACGATTCCATCAGCGCTGCCTCTGGAAAATCCTGCAAATCTCTTGGGAAGACAGGCGGACAAACATAAGCATGCTGGAAGAAGCAAAGACCACCAGCATTGAAGCGATGGTCCTCTGCCATCAACTCCGCTGGACCGGCCACGTTGTCCAGATGCCCGACCACAGTCTCCCAAAGCAGTTTCTCTACTCTGAACTCAGGAATGGAAAATGGACTGTTGGTGGGCAGGAAAAGAGATTTAAAGATGGGCTCAAAGCCAACCTTAAAAACTCTGGCATAGACACTGAGAACTGGGAAGCCCTGGCCCTTGAGTGCTCCAGCTGGAGGTCAGCTGTGACCAGCAGTGCTGCAGAATTTGAGGCACGAATGGAGGGCGAAAGAGAGAAACGTGCCAAGAGGAAAGCGCGTCAAGCCAACCCCGACCAGGACCGCCTTCTACCTGGAAACCAATTCCCTCACTGCAGAAGAAGATGCAGATCAAGAATAGGGCTCCACAGTCACCTACGGACCCACCAGAGCACTGATCCTGGAAGACTATCTTACTCGGCCAACAAGGGATTGCCTAAGTAAGTAAGTAGACTGTCTTTGAGCATAGACACTCAGCCAGCAGAATAATTCAAGTTCACCGGTCCAAAGGGGGTGGGGGTGGTCAAGACTTGTTCTTATGTCCCCCATAGTACAAAATGGAGGGGGTCCATTTTAGAAGTTTTCCAGTAAATGGAGATTAATGGGGCCAGTTCAAGTTCCTCATCCAATTAATTGTGGTCTGGGGTTAAAGTCCCCCTCCCTTCTACGCACAACCCAAGGGATGCCCTTCTTGGCATTGCTTCTCTTTGAAATGAGAGAAATGGGAAGAAGAAGCAAATCAGTCTGCCCTGTCAGAAAATCAGCCCTGGTCTGGAAACTGTATCTCAAGCCCTTTCAGATGACTGAAAACCCTTCCTAACTCACAGAATTCACCATCTTTTTCCTGTTTCTCTTTCAAAATGGATATAGAAAATGATGCAATGTCACTTTCAGTTGCCTTTTTTAAAAAGAAAGGACAGGAAAACAAGACACCTGGAGTTGAAAATGTGACCTATGGGGGTTGGAAGTGGACAATTGTCCTCAGTGGCCTACCTTTGTTGCACAGGGAAGAGGAAGGAAATGAGAGCTGCCATTCTCAACCAACACCTGCCTACCAGTATTTTGTACTTCCTCCTCTTCCATGATTAGGGGACAAAGAAGCACCCGGATTGTGGCGCAGCTGGCTGAGTGTCAGCTGCATTAAGATCACTCTGACCAAAAGGTCATGAGTTCGAAGCGAGCCCGGGTTGGAGTGGGTTTCCAACCAATTGTGTAGCCTGTTGTCGACCTTTGCAACCCGAAAGACAGTTGCATCTGTCAAGTAGGAAAATTAGGTACCACCTTAAAGTGTGGGGAGGCTAAATTAACTAATTTATGAGGCCATAAAGAAGACTCCAGCAAAAGCATTCCAGCGGGGAAGCATGCGGGGAATGCGGAAGTGCTTCATCAGCGTCGCAGATGGACGATGAAAGCGACAGCTCCCCTGGCGGCCAGAAAAAGTTAAATAGCCTCTGTGTATGTCTGTATATGTTTGTATGTCAAAAATTGGCATTGAATGTTTGCCATATATGTGTACACTGTAAGCCGCCCTGAGTCCCCTGCGGGGTGAGAAGGGCGGAATATAAAAGCGGTAAATAAATAAATAAATAAATAAATAAATAAGAGGTTTAAGGGGAGATCTGCCTGGTGCTACAGTCAAGGACGTGATAGTATCAAGAGATGTGTCCTTTGGTGTTATCTGGTCTGTAAAAGGCTGCAGGAGTAAAAATGTATCTGTTTATTTATTTATTTATTTATTTATTTACACCATTTCCATCCCGCCCTTCTCACCCCCGAGGTGGGACTCAGGGCAGCTAACACAGGCAGCAATTCGATGCCACAATATCAGTAACAGAATATAAAATCATCATACATAGCAAAGTTAAAACAGTAACATTAATTAAAATCATATAATCACAATCACAAAGTCACGCCGTTTCCAATTGTCATAATGGTCCTATGGTCCATGTTCAGTGTCTAAGGTGCTCCTGTGCCCACAAGCCAAATGCCTGGGTCCAAAACCATGTTTTTGTTTTTTTTCTAAAATGTTTGAGGGAGGACGCCGATCTGATCTCGCTGGGGAGCAAATTCCACAAGCGGGAGGCCACCACTGAGAAGGCCCTGTCCCTCGTCCCCACCAGACGCGTTTGAGACGCTGGTGGGACCGAGAGCAGGGCCTCCCCAGTAGATCTTAAATTACGAGGCGGAACATAGAGAGAGATACGTTCGGACAAGTAAGCTGGGCCAGAGCCGTATAGGGTTTTATAGGCCAAGAGCAGCACTTTGAATTGTGCTCGGAGGTGGACTGGCAGCCAGTGGAGCTGACATAACAGAGGGGTGGTGTGCTCCCTATATGGTGCTCCGGTGAGTAATCTGGCTGCCGCCCGTTGGGACTAGTTAGAGCAGGGGTCCTCAAACTTTTTAAACTGGGGGCCAGTTCACTGTCCCTCAGACTGTTGGAGAGCCGGACTATAGTTTTTTAAAAAAAAAATCAATAAAAATTTCCTATGCACATTGCACATATCTTATTTTGCTGTGTGGAAGGGCCCTTAGAGGGGGTTCTTTCTAGCCCTCTTTAGGCAGTAATTCCAGGAGCAGAGAATGGGAAATCTTCCTATTTCTAGTCTGAACAAAATCTGGCTACCAGTATTTAAAAAACTCTAAAATTATAACTGTAAATAAAGAACAACACTCAAACACAGGGGAACTCCAGACAAGAAACAATCAGGGCCAGCTAATCACCTCTCAACAAAGGATTCTCCCTAAAAACTTTCAGGCTATGAAATGGTAATCAAGGTGGACAATTGAAACATTCATACCTACCTCCAACAGACAAGAGTTCCTTCTCCCACCCTGGATCTTCCACAATTTTCCTAGTTAAAGGTTTTCCTCTGACATGAAGTCCAGTCATGTCTAACTCTGGGGTGTGGTGCTCATCTGCATTTCTAAGTCGAAGAGCCGGCGTTGTCCGTAGACACCTCCAAGGTCATGTGGCCGGCATGACTGCATGGAGCGCCGGGGCAGCCTCCCTTGGCTGGCTCACGCTGCCCATCGGGCCCGATGGACAGCGTGAGCCTGCCAAGGGAGGAGCAGCCCCACGCGGCCTACTCATGCGTAAAGCACCTTGCGAGGTGCTTTACGTGCGGGTAGGCCACATGGAGCAGCTGCCCTTGGCTGGCTCACGCTGCCCATCAGGCCTGACGGATAGCGTGAGCCAGCCAAGGAGGGGCACTGTGTGGGGGGGGCGCTCCTCCTCTGCGGCCGGATAAGTGCCCTTGGCAGGCCGGAAGTGGTCGGGCCGTCGTTTGGGGACCCCTGAGTTAGAGTCTCAGAACAGGAATCAGTTTTTAGCCCCCCAGCTTTGTTTTACAGGTGTGACTTAGGCAAGGCCTTCCAGATGTCAAACTGCAACTTCACCACTGGCTGCGGTGTGCTGGCTAGGACTGGTGTGATCTACTGTCCAACAACATTTGAATGATACATTTTGTCAACCTCTGGTCTACAAGACTGGGAAAGACTGGATATCCAACTGTGTATTTTTTATTTATTTATTTCGGACATTTGTATCCCGTCCTATCTCAACCTCCACAGAGGGACTCAGGGCGGCTAACAACCGGCACATCACGGTGCCCACAACCAAAAGGATAAATATACAATTTAAATAAAAACAATATAAAAACAGTATAAAAACAGTCGCCGATTTAAGTCATCATCCTAAAAGCAATCCGTCAAGTCCATTAAAGCCGTTGCTTTGCCAGCAGATCAGCCTAGTCTGCACAGGCCTGATCCTATAGCCAGGATTTCACTTGTTTCCAAAAGGTCAGGAGCGGGGCTCCTTACAGGGAGCGGTCATCCCTCCAGTTCAAGGAGCTCCACTGGCTGCCATTCATCTACCGGACCCAATTCAAGGTGCAGGTTCTCACCTACAAAGCCCTGAACGGTTTGGGACCCGCCTACCTGTGTGACCATCTCTGTATACGAACCCACACGATCCCTTCGATCATCCGGAGAGGCCCTGCTCTCGATCCCACCAGCATCGCAGGCGCGATTGGTGGGGACAAGAGAGAGGGCCTTTTCGGTGGTGGCCCCTCGACTCTGGAACTCACTCCCTAAAGACATCAGACAGGCTCCAACTCTGGCAGTCTTCAGGAGGAGCTTGAAGATGTGGCTGTTCCAGTGTGCCTTCCCAGAATAATGATCCCATAGCACTTTGTCCTCCAAAGCACTTTACACTTATTTCTTTAGGTCTGCTCGTATGCCCTTCCACAAACACCGGTATCACCTTTCGTCCATGTCCCAGCATTATTTCCAATTTTAACTCTACATGGCCTTCCCACTGTTTTTAATTGTGTGTTGTCTTATTGATAATGCTGTCTATTTTATTGTCTATGTTTTTTAATTGCTTGCATTGTTGTTATTATTGCTTGTATTGTTGTGTTTGGGCTCAGCCTCATGTAAGCCGCACCGAGTCCCTTGGGGAGATGGTAGCGGGGTACAAATAAAGTGTTATTATTGTTATTATTATTAGATCTAATTTTGCTTGGGAGGGATGGAGCAGATCTAACTTCACCCATCCTAGTCTTGGGGGACATCCACAGTGCTACCATTCCCTGGACATTATTTTTTAGGTTCCAAGTGTTCACTGCCATGTCCTGGAGCCCCCAGTGGTGCAATGGGTTTGGCAGGACTGCTGACCGAAAGGTTAGCGGTTCAAAAGAGGGGAGTGGGGTGAGCTCCCATCTTTCAGCTCCAGCTTCTCATGAAAAGACATGAGAGAAGCCTCCCACAGGATGGTAAAGCATTTGGGCATCCCCTGGGCAACATCCTTGCAGACAACCAATTCTCTCACACGAGAAGCAACTTGCAGTTTCTCAAGTCACTTCTGACACAGAAAAAAAAAATAACATGTCCCATTTAGAGTGCAAAAAATTATGCTAACTAGCCAAGCCCTTAGTCCATAGTGTTGCCTAGGCATTCCTAAATGAATTGAATCATTCAGTACCCTTAAGCCCCCCAGCCCAACCCCTATATCAAGCATACCGTGACTGGCTGCTCCCCAGTTTGGCTTGGTGAATCGCACAGCAGTTGGGTCTCTGAGACAGTCAGTGTGCAAGGCTCTCCTCCAATCAACACAGTATAGTTGAGCCGTGTGCTCCCTGAGACTGCTGGAATCAAGTTCCTGCCCTGGAAGAGGCAGGGAGAGACAGATGGAAGAGACAGAAATGGAAGCAGTCTATTAATCCAAGGAGAGAGACAGGCAAAAGATAAATATTATTATTACTATCACCATCACCACCACCTTCATCATGATAGTCATCTTGTGGTTCTGGATTTTGATTTGGAGATGACAATCTCCATGTGCTCAGGATTTTCAAAATGTAAAGTTGGCACTCTGTACCACAAACAGACTTGCCAGAAAGCCATCATCTACATCCGGTGAAGAGTGGGAAGCAGCATTAAATAGTATTCATCAAATACATGCATATTTTAGGAGGGAGAAATTTCATAGCTGTGCTGATTGTTGCATTGCATGGAAGTGGTGTGTATTTATTTATTACTAGTCATTCCCTGCCATGTGTTGCTGTGGCCCAGTCTGTGTATATGTATGTGGGTGATAGACACTCGTTGGACCATTTGGTGTGTTGTGTCCAAATGTCGTGTCAATTCATCCAGAGGTTTTTGAGCTATATTAATCCCACAGATGAACATTACATTTTTATTTATATAGACTAGCCATCCCCTGCCATGTGTTGCTGTGGCCCAGTCTGTGTATATGTGCTTTGTGTGTGTATATATGTGTGTATGTGTGTGAATATATTTGTGTATATATGTGTGTTTGCATATATATATGTGGGTGTATATATGTGTGTATATATTTGTGTATTTATATGTGTACATGCATATTGTGTATATGTGTGTATATATTTGTATATATGTGTGTGTTTGCATATATATATATATATATATATATATATATATACACACACACACACACACACACACACACATACGGATGTATATATATGTGTGTGTATACATTTGTGTATATATGTGTGTTTGCGTATATATATGTGTGTGTATGTGTATATTTGTGTATTTAAGTGTCTATATGTGTACATGCATATTGTGTATATGTGTGTGCTTGTCTATATGTATATTTGTGTGTATATATGTGTGTATGTGGATATGTATATGTGTGTGTATCTATATAAATAAAAATGTAATGTTAGTTTGTGGGATTAACATAACTCAAAAACCACTGGACGAATTGACACCAATTTGGACACAATACACCTATCAGGCCAACGAGTGACCATCACTCATAAAAACACTGAAAAACACAGTGGAAGAGACTTAAAAGCCAAAAACAAACAAAAAATATTACAATGCATGCGCAAAACCACATATACACAAATATATACACACAAAAAACACATATACACAGACTGGGCCACAAAAATGAGTGGCAAGGGACAGCTAGTATGTATGTGTGTGTGTATATATATATGTGTGTGTGTGTGTGTATGAATGTGTGCATATGTATATGAGTGTATGTGTGTATGTATCTATGGTGTATTTTTGGGGGTTTTAAGTCTGTTCTGCTGGGGTTTTGTGTGTGTGTTTAAGGGTGATGAACACTCGTTGGACCGTTGGGTGTGTTGTGCCCACATTTCGTGTCAATTTGCCCAGTGGTTTTTGAGTTATGTTAATCCCACAAATGAACATTACATTTTTATTTATATAGACTAGCCGTCCCCTGCCACGCGTTGCTGTGTTTCGCCCAATTCTATCCTTGGTGGGGTTCAGAATGCTCTTTGATTGTAGGTGAGCTATAAATCCCAGCAACTACAACTCCCAAATGTCAAGGTCTATTTTCCCCAAACTCCACCAGTGTTCACATTTGGGCATATTGAGTATTCATGCTAAGTTTGGTCCAGATCCATCATTGTTTGAGTCCACAATGCTCTCTGGATGTAGGTGAACTACAACTCCAAAACTCAAGGTCAATGCCCACCAAACCCTTCTAGTGTTTCCTGTTGGTCAGAGGAGTCCTGTGTGCCAAGTTTGGTTTAATTTCATCATTGGTGGGGTTCAGAATGCTCTTTGATTGTAGGTGAACTATAAATCCCAGCAACTACAACTCCCAAATGACAAAATCAATTTTTTTGAGTGAACATCATACATTGGGTTGTTACATGCCTTGTGTCCAAATTAGGTGTCAATTTATCCAGTGGTTTTTGAGTTCTGTTAATCCCACAAACGAACATTACATTTTTATTTATATAGATTGCACTGGAGATGTTCCTTTAAAAATATGCACGAAAGTAAATAATGTAGACTTGCCAAGACAAGTATCTTTTTCTAGAGTGAGCATTAAAAGTATCAAAAAATGTGGATTTTCAGATTCTTTCATAAATCTCTATTTCTGGTGAAGGCGAACATTGAAATTCCGAATCCCTTGATCACTTGGGAGTCCTCATTAGGCAAGCCATTTGCCTTAATTGCAATTAAAATTTAAAATCCTTGGGCTTCAGTACCTTGAGAACCACATGGGATCCAGGCTTGATCTCCAGGATGCCGCTGGGGCCAAACGACTCAAAGCTGGGGTCTGGGTAGTAGGTAAAGGCTGAACGATTCAGGGTACGCACAGCAAACACGTCATCCAGGAGGAAACCAAATTCACTGGGATGAGCACCCGCCAGAGGCAGTGCCTGCTCTCCAGGTACAATGCCTGGGGCTTTGCATAACATTACGGTGTCATTTAGCACCTGACAGCTCTGTAAGGAGAAAAGGGGGAAAAAGGTATACACTGCTACAAACTGAAGGGAATCCAGAATGATTTTCTTTCAAAACCTGTTCTGATCATTACTCTGATATCTTAAAGCAGCGAGAAATGTATAACCCTTCAGGTCTTCAAAGACAACTTCTGTCTTTCCTCACCTATGGTCTAATAGCAGAGCAAGGAACCTTGTCGTTTCTCAAGGTTGGATTTACTTGAAGAATAATCTGTTTGGGGCCACATGCTAGGAGCAAGTAAAGGCAGAGCCAAATTTGGATAAAGGCAGCCATATCTCCAGTTTTACAGAGGCCTCTTTGAAAGCGTTTGCTATTAAACCATCTATTTGAAGAACTGTCTGATGCAGAACTCATTTGAAGATAACAAACCATAAGGAAAGAGGCTAAGGGCCTTGAAGGACAGGTGCTTTGATGTCATCCTTCAAAAATAGTCAGATCATGGACAAAAAGATTAAGCATACACATGAGTTGTATATTTTGGACACAGCTATCCTTTTATGCTGAAATTGATTGTTCTTGTAGTTGCATGCCTTCAATCCATTTCTGAATGAAGGTGACCCTAAGGCAATGATGGGCAACCTTTTGAGCTTGGTGTGTCAATACTTACCAAAAAACCAAGCATAACTTGAGTGGGGTGTCACTACCATAATTTCATGATATTTATAGTTTAATAACAAAAATATATTATTGTAATATATAATTGTATTTAATAAACCAAAAACTAATTATTTAACTTACCTGCTTTTTCTATAATGCCATATATCTGGGCAATATAGAAAAATGCTAGTGTAGGAGCCGAGGATGAAATGTCCTTCTTGGGAAGCGGCCCCATCTTCTCTGTATGCGGCCACATGCGGCTGTGTGTCATCGAAAATGGTTACGCGTGTCAGTGCTGACACACGTGTCATAGGTTCGCCATCATGGCCCTAAGGCCTTACTGGCAGAATTTGTTCAGAAGGAGGTTTCCCTTGTCTTCCTCCAAGGCTGAGAGAGTGCCACTTTCCCAGGGCCACCCAATGGATTTCCATGGTGGAGTGGGGATTTGAACTGTGGTCCTAGTCCAACGCTCAAACCAGGGGCCCTCCAAGGTCATTTACCCGGCCTTCGCTCAGGGTCAACCTAAGTCTCACTCAGGGTCAACCTAAGTCTGAAACTACTTGAAAGCACACAACAACAACAACAATCCGATCACATTAGCCAATAGTAGGCCCACGCTTTCCACTGAAGATGACCCTAAGGCCTTACTGGCAGAATTTGTTCACAGGGAGGTTTCCCTTGTCTTCCTCCAAGGCTGAGAGAGTGCCACTTTCCCAGGGCCACCCAATGGATTTCCATGGTGGAGTGGGGATTTGAACTGTGGTCCTAGTCCAACGCTCAAACCAGGGGCCCTCCAAGGTCATTTACCCGGCCCTCGCTCAGGGTCAACCTAAGTCTGAAACGACTTGAAAGCACACAACAACAACAACAACAACAATCCTATCTCATCAGCCAAAAGCAGGTCCACACTTCCCACTGAAATACTAACCAGTTTATATTTGTTAAAAATTGTTCTTCATTTTAATTATTGTATTGTTTTAAGTGTTTTTTGCACTACAAATAAGATATGTGCAGTGTGCATAGGAATTCATTCATGTTTTTTTCAAATTATAATCAGGCCCTCCAACAGTTTGAGGGACTGTGATCTGGCCCTCTGTTTACAAAGTTTGAGGACCCCTGGCTCAAACCATTACTGGCTCAATTGTATTGCATTTACAGTAGAGTCTCGCTTATCCAACATAAACGGGCCGGCAGAATGTTAAAGAAGCGAAAATGTTGGATAAAAAGGAGGGATTAAGGAAAAGCCTATTAAATGTCAAATTACGTTATGATTTTACAAATTAAGGACCAAAGCATCATGTTTCACAACAAATCAACAGACAAAGCAGTTCAATACAGAGTAATCTAAGTCTTTATTAATGACTTAGATGAAGGGCTAGAAGGCAGGATCATCAAGTTTGCAGACGACACCAAATTGGGAGGGATAGCCAATACTCCAGAGGACAGGAGCAGGATTCAAAACGATCTTGACAGATTAGAGAGATGGGCCAAAACTAACAAAATGAAGTTCAACAGGGACAAATGCAAGATACTCCACTTAGGCAGAAAAAATGAAATACAAAGATACAGAATGGGGGACGCCTGGCTCGAGAGCAGTACGTGTGAAAAAGATCTTGGAGTCCTCGTGGACAACAAGTTAAACATGAGCCAACAATGTGATGTGGCGGCAAAAAAAGCCAATGGGATTTTGGCCTGCATCAATAGGAGCATAGTGCTAGATCCAGGGAAGTAATGCTACCCCTCTATTCTGCTTTGGTTAGACCACACCTGGAATATTGTGTCCAATTCTGGGCACCACAATTCAAGAGAGATATTGACAAGCTGGAATGTGTCCAGAGGAGGGCGACTAAAATGATCAAGGGTCTGGAGAACAAACCCTATGAGGAGAGGCTTAAGGAGCTGGGCATGTTTAGCCTGAAGAAGAGAAGGCTGAGAGGAGATATGATAGCCATGTATAAATATGTGAGAGGAAGCCACAGGGAGGAGGAGGGAGCAAGCTTGTTTTCTGCTGCCTTGGAGACTAGGACGCGGAACAATGGCTTCAAACTACAAGAGAGGAGATTCCATCTGAACATGAGGAAGAACTTCCTGACTGTGAGAGCCGTTCAGCAGTGGAACTCTCTGCCCTGGAGTGTGGTGGAGGCTCCTTCTTTGGAAGCTTTTAAACAGAGGCTGGATGGCCATCTGTCAGGGGTGCTTTGAATGCAATATTCCTGCTTCTCAGCAGGGGGTTGGACTGGATGGCCCACGAGGCCTCTTGCAACTCTTTGATTCTATGATTCTATGTTATGTAGTAATTACTATATTTATGAATTTAGCACCAAAATTCATAGAATCATAGATTCCTGTTCGTAGAGTCTCTGAAATTCGCACATATGGGTTTTAGTTCTGTGCATGCGCAGCTGTTTGGAACCTTCTAGAACCTTGTAAAAGAAACATTTTGGCGGAGGCCCTGCCCACTCTCCCCAATACTATAAATGCCCCTGGCGGGGACTGCGTCTTAGTTCCTTTTTCTGTGCTCAGCAGTTTTGGAACCTCTCTAGTCTTTTGACTGCTTTGGATCCCTTTTTTGCTTAAACTACTGGACTGTCTCGTTACGACCTTGGGTTGCAAGAGACCTCGTGGGCCATCCAGTCCGACTCCCTGCCAAAAAGCAGGAAAACTGTATTCAAAGCACCCCCGACAGATGGCCATCCAGCCTCTCTTTAAAAGCTTCCAAAGAAGGAGCCTCCACAGGGCCGGCCCGTCCATTACTCGAAGTAAGCGGTGGCGGAATACTTTTTTTGCCAGGGGGCGCTGTTTTGTCCTTAGGCCACGCCTCCTCCTGCAGGCCCCATGCGCCCTCAACAGCCTTCTAATGGAGAAGTGCAGGCCCCGCCCACTAGGCGAGAGGGAAGTCCTCCCTCCACGTGCTGCCAGGAGGGAGGCAGCCAGCCAGGCTCTTTCGCTTTCCCTTTCCTTCCCTGCAGCTGAGCCTGGACCCCTCTCAGGGCAGCAAGGAGGCCTCGTCAAAAGGTACTGCAAATGTCATCTTTTGTACATGCCTCCCCCAAGCCTCTCTAGTATTTGGTAATGGAAGTCCTATATGCCAAGTTTGGTTCAATTCTATTGTTGGTGGAGCTCAGAATGTTCTTTGGTGCTTGGTAAACTGCAATCCCCAAATGTCAGGGTCTATTTTTCCCAACCAGTATTTTCTGTTGCTCATGGGAGTTCTGTGTGCCAAGTTTGGTTCAATTCCATCATTGGTGGAGATTCAGAATGCTTTTGGTTGGTAAACTGCAATTCCCAAATGTCAGGGTCTATTTTTCCCAACCCCCTCTCCAGTATTTTCTGTTAGTCATGGAAGTCCTGTATGCCAAGTTTGGTTCAATTCTATTGTTGGTGGAGCTCAGAATGTTCTTTGGTGCTTGGTAAACTGCAATTCCCAAATGTCAGCGTCTATTTTTCCCAACCCCCTCTCCAGTATTTTCTGTTAGTCATGGAAGTCCTGTATGCCAAGTTTGGTTCAATTCTATTGGGGGAGCTCAGAATGTTCTTTGGTGCTTGGTAAACTGCAATTCCCAAATGTCAGGGTCTATTTTTCCCACCCCCCTCTCCAGTATTTTCTGTTAGTCATGGAAGTCCTGTATGCCAAGTTTGGTTCTATTCTATTGTTGGTGGAGCTCAGAATGTTCTTTGGTGCTTGGTAAACTGCAATTCCCAAATGTCAGGGTCTATTTTTCCCAACCCCCTCTCCAGTATTTTCTGTTAGTCATGAAAGTCCTGTATGCCAAGTTTGGTTCAGTTCTATTGTTGGTGGAGCTCAGAATGTCCTTTGGTGCTTGGTAAACTGCAATTGCCAAGTTTGGTTCAATTTTATTGTTGGTGGAGCTCAGAATGTTCTTTGGTGCTTGGTAAACTGCAATTCCCAAATGTCAGGGTCTATTTTTCCCAACCCCCTCTCCAGTTTTCTGTTAGTCATGGAAGTCCTGTATGCCAAGTTTGGTTCAATTCTATTGTTGGTGGAGCTCAGAATGTTCTTTGGTGCTTGGTAAACTGCAATTCCCAAACGTCAGGGTCTATTTTTCCCAACCCCCTCTCCAGTATTTTCTGTTAGTCATGGAAGTCCTGTATGCCAAGTTTGGTTCAATTCTATTGTTGGTGGAGCTCAGAATGTTCTTTGGTGCTTGGTAAACTGCAATTCCCAAATGTCAGGGTCTATTTTTCCCAACCCCCTCTCCAGTATTTTCTGTTAGTCATGGAAGTCCTGTATGCAAAGTTTGGTTCAATTCTATTGTTGGTGGAGCTCAGAATGTTCTTTGGTGCTTGGTAAACTGCAATTCCCAAATGTCAGGGTCTATTTTTCCCAACCCCCTCTCCAGTTTTTTCTGTTAGTCATGGAAGTCCTGTATGCCAAGTTTGGTTCAATTCTATTGTTGGTGGAGCTCAGAATGTTCTTTGGTGCTTGGTAAACTGCAATTCCCAAATGTCAGGGTCTATTTTTCCCAACCCCCTCTCCAGTATTTTCTGTAGTCATGGAAGTCCTGTATGCCAAGTTTGGTTCAGTTCTATTATTGGTGGAGTTCAGAATGCTCTTTGGTGCTTGGTGAAGCATTCTCACCTGATGTTTCACCCACATCTATGGCAGGCATCCTTAAGAGGCTGTGAGGTCTGTTTGTAACTAGGCAAGTGGGGTTTGTATATCTGTGGAATGTCCAGGGTGGGAAAAAGAACTCATGTCTGCTTGAGGTAAGTGTGAATGTTGCAATTGGTCACTTGATGAGTATTTAATGGCCTTGCAGCTTCGAAGCCGAGCTAGTTGCTGCCGAGGAATCCTTTGTTGGGAGCGGTTAACTGGCCCTGATTGCTTCATGTCAGGAATTCCCCCTTTTTTAGTGTTGCTCTTTATTTATTGTTCTGATTTTAGAGTTTCCAACAGACCTCACAACTTCTGAGGATGCCTGCCGTAGATGTGGGCAAAACATCAGGAAAGAAGTCTTCTGGAACATGGCCATACAGCCTGGAAAACTCAGCAACCTAGTGATTTTGGCCATGAAAGCCTTTGACAACACAATAGTATTTTGCTCTAAGCTGATCGATTGCAGCCATGTGCCCTATTTTACAATAGTCAAGTTACACAGCAGTGCCTTCCAGGATCCGTTACTGAGTAAGCATAACAAATATGCAAACATTAAAATGGAATTAAATATCATTGGTATTTTAAAAATTCAGTTAAAATCCATAAAAAACATATCCAAAACTAAAAACTGCAGCAGACCCTGACTTGATCTTTAAAACCTTTTAAAGCCTGCATTAGATTACCAAATGTAATGTCCCTTTATACACACTGCTTTATATTAATTTCCCCAGTATTCCTTTATCTGATTTGTCATCAACACACTTAATGGACTGCAAAAATATGATCCTGTGTGATTCCTTTCCATTTCCAAGTCGCCCAGTCCTCTGTGTGCCCAGGGGGGAGTCTCTCATCTGGTATCAGCCATGGGCTGAGGTGCTGGGTTTGAGCCTGCCACTTTTGGACTCTCGCTTGCTGAGGTGTTCCAGCGAGTGTCTCTGTAGATCTTAGAAAACTATTTCTAGATTTAAAGAGCGCTTGAGTGGACTAGCAACCTTGGCCATTGAAAATGGCTTGTTGGATGAAATGGAAACAGATATAATAGTACACGAGTTTTCAAAATTGAAAGCCAGAAAAATCTCTTTTTAATTTTAAAAGTGTTCAAGTTTATTTGTGTTAAGGAAAACTGGATGTTAAAGTATCCACTAAAGTGAAGGGGCCAGAGGCTGACTACGTTGCCACACCCATTGTAATGGTCCAGGCTGGCATGGCACTTTTGAAGGACAAGAGTTCACTTTCTTAAAAAGGAGGTGTCTATTCTCCTGGGGCTGCATTCTCCAAAACAAAACTGATTGACAGACTCAACAAGCATGGGATTGAGTTCTCTGTTATTAGCAAGCCCGAAGTCTGAAAAATCTTCTGAGGAGACAGCATGACCAGGACACCATTGTGTAGTACTTGTAGACCAAAAATAACAACAAAAACTTAAAATTGTTGCTAAGTTTAGTAAAATATTTGCATTCTTAAAAAAGTTAATTTGTGTAATGTAACTATATAAACATAATGTTGTAAGTAAATTTCTGGTTTGTAAGGTAACTCTTTTATTCACCTCTACCTTCTACGTTTTATTTTTCAGTGATTGGTTGGGGGGAGGGGGCGCCAAAATAATGTTTGCTTACCATTGAAAATTACCAAGAGCCTCCACCACACTCCGGGGCAGAGAGTTCCACTGCTGAACAGCTCTCGCAGTCAGGAAGTTCTTCCTAATGTTCAGATGGAATCTCCTTTCTTGTAGTTTGAAGCCATTGTTCTGCGTCATAGTCTCCAGGGCAGCAGAAAACAAGCTAGCTCCCTCCTCCCTATGACTTCCTCTCATATATTTATACATGGCTATCATGTCTCCTCTCAGCCTTCTCTTCTTCAGGCTAAACATGCCCAGCTCTTTAAGCTGCTCCTCATAGGGCTTGTTCTCCACAATGTATTGAAATAGCTGTGGATCTAGGCTGGAGGCGTTGGATAATACAGAACGAAGGTTGGATAAGCAAGACTCTACTGTACTCCTAAATTTACACCTCTGACTTTTAGGCAAATGAAAAGGTAACCGTGCATTCCTTTTGTATTAATGTGTTTCTTCTTTGGGCTAATAGACAAGTGGGACTATCCTTCTGTGTGCTCTCTCACTCTCTCTTGCACTTATCTTAAAAGACTGAACTGCTGACTAGCAAAGGGCCATGTTTAATTAAGCCAAGGGCTGAATTAATTAATGACTCCTCTACTTCTCACAACAGGCTCTCCACCCCTCCCCTCCTCCATGCGGTGAGACATGCTCAGTTCTCATTAGTTTTGACTTCCACAAAGAACTCACATTGATGGTTTCTATTCCACCATAGGCAGCTCGAACCCGTGGCTCCTGAATTGTCAGCAGGTGAGTCCCACTCACGGTGAGGCTGGTGCTACCACTGGGAGGAGGCAGGCAAAATGAAAAAGACGATCAAGGACTAGTCCACAAACACTACTGCATAAAGCATAAAGCAAAGGCATTACCAAGATGTGTTTCTCCCCATTCTTGTAATGACAATGTACAATAAATGTTCCCATGGCAGTGATGATACAATCATACGTAACACCACACTTAGTGTAGCATAAATATGCAAACAAACTTAGTGAGGCAGAAATATAGTCCTATGCAAACAAATCTGAGGACTCATTAGCCCCATTTCTATAAACTATCATCCTTTCACAGGTCATGCCCCCCAGTATTGTATTCATCATGATTTCTGAATGTTCAGATCTGTAGAAGTACCGTATATACTAGAATATAAGCCGACCAAAATAGAAGCCGAAGCACCTAATTTTACCACAAAAAACTGGGAAAACGTTTTCACTCGAGTTTCCTCGAGGGTGGGAAATACAGCAGCAGGCATGTAGCCGGGGGGGGGGGGGGGGCTTCAGCCCCCCACGAAAGGCCTTACTGGCCTTACTGGTGCATTATTTAAACTGTTATGTTTATTCATATCATGATCTGATCACCATACTCAATATATCCCATATGCATGGGGGTATTGGGGTAACGATACAAAAGGTTTGCTAGGGTAGACCCTCTTTCACCCAGACTCAGCCCCCCCCCCCCCTTTCAAATCAAAATCCTGGCTACGAGCCTGTGCAGCAGCTACTGGTAAATTTCAAAATAAAAATAGATACCAATAAAATTATTTTAATTGAGGCATTCGTACGTTAAATATTTTTGAATATTTACATAAAACTGTAATTTAAGATAAGATGGTCCAACTGTGATTAAACCATTATTCTAACCTTCTTCAATGTTAATGTGCTTATGTATCTTTCCATTAATAATAAAGAGAATAAAATAATAAATGTAATAAAAATAATAACTAGAGTAAAATAAATGCAATAACAATAATAAAATATAATAATAAATATAATAATAATAGAGTAAAATAATATACATATATTATTAATAATAGAGTAAAATAATGTAAATGTAATAATAATAATAATAATAATAATAATAATAATAATAATAATAATAATAGATTAAAATAATAAGTGTAATAAAAACTATAAAAATAACCGAGTAAAATAATAAATAACTTTTTTTTTGTCGTGTCAGGAGCAACTTGAGAAACTGCAAGTCACTTCTGGTGTGAGAGAATTGGCCATCTGCAAGGACGTTGCCCAGGAGACGCCCGGATGATTTGATGTTTTTATCATCCTTGTGGGAGGCTTCTCTCATGTCCCCGCTTGGGTAGCTGGAGCTGACAGAGGGAGCTCATCCGCCTCTCCTCGGATTCAAACCTGCGACCTGTCGGTCTTCAGTCCTGCTGGCACAGGGGTTTAACCCACTGCGCCACCGGGGGCTCCATATAAATAACTTTGACTCAAGTAAAAGTTGATGGGGGATTTTTCAGTCTGAAAAAAGGGCTGAAAACTCAGCTTATATTCAAGTATATACGGTACTTCATGGGTTCTGATATTCCCATGAGACAGTTACATGAACGTGGATCTGGATGTATGACTGCAGTGTTTCTCAACCTGGGGGTCGGGACCCCTCGGGGGGTTGCGACGGGGGTGTCAGAGGCGTTGCCAAAGATAATCAGAAAACACAGTTTTTTTCTGTTGGTCATGGAGGTTCTGTGTGGGAAGTTTGGCCCAATTCTATTGTTGGTGAAATTCAGAATGCTCTTTGTAGATAAATCCCAGCAACTACAACTCCCAAATGTCAAGGCTTATTTTCCTCAAACTCCACCGGTGTTTACATTTGGGCATATTGAGTATTTGTGCCAAGTTTGGTCCAGATCCATCACTGCTTGAGTCTGCACTGCTCTCTGGATGTCGGTGAACTACAACCCCCAATCTCAAGGTCAATGCCCACCAAACCCTTCCAGTACTTTTTGTTGGTCATGGGACTTCTGTGTGCCAAGTTTGGTTCAATACTATCACTGGTGGAGTTCAGAATGCTATTTGATTGTAGATGAACTATAAATCCCAGCAACTACAATTCCCAAATGACGAAATTCCTCCCCCTCCCCCAACCCCACCAGTATTCAAATTTGGGTGTATCATGTATTTGTACCAAAATTGGTCCACTGAATGAAAATACATCCTGTATGTCTGATATTTACACAAAGATTCATAACAAGAGCAAAATTACAGTTGTGAAGTAGCAAAGAAAATAATGTTATGGTTGGGAGTCACCACAACATGAGGAACTGTATTAAGGGGTCACGGTATTAGGAAGGTTGAGAAACACTGTATTACTGAATATGCCCATATTACATTATACTTCTGTTTGAACAATGTGGATGAGATACTTTATTCAACCACTTCATTCATATACAGATCTCTGCATATGCATATTATCAATCTCACATAACTCTCCAGCTGATCTAAGATCCCATGATCTGTAAGTGTCCCCTGCATGCTCTTTCACTGCAAACAGATGTCCATATCAGCATAGGAATACATTTTAAGTAATTTTAACTTAGTTTCCATTGGCCCCACGGATTCTGCATTCACAGATTCAATCTTATATTGGAAAATATTTTCCAAAAGCATATCTTGATGTCGCCATTTTATATAAGGAACACTATTTTACTATAATGGGACTTGATCATCCATGGATTTTAGTATCCACAGGTGTGTGCATGGGCGGGGGGGGGGGGGGGGGGGGGGGGGGGGGGGGGGAGGGGGGGGCTGCTTTTTTCGGGGGGGGGGGCGGGGGGGGCGGGGGGGGGGGGGGAGCGGGGGGAGCGGGGGGTGGGGGCGGGGGGGGGGGGGGGGGGGGTGGGGGTGGGTGGGGGGTGCGGCGGGGGGGGGGGGGGGGACCAAATCCAAGTGGATCTAAAGCCCTCACTATAACTGTCTTTCAACTGGAGAAAGTTATGTGTGCATCCACATGGGAGCGCAAATATACCCACATATGTATAGCAAAGCAATCTGGGCCTGAACGCCATCCAATGTGCACAACAGATGCTCAGTAAGGAAGCACTACCACGGTCATCCTAGCAATGCAACACAGGGCTGTCACAGGCTCATCACTTACTTGGCAATGCTCCAGGCGGGCTCTATTGCTGTGACAACTGGGTCAGGGCTGTAGCGGAAGGAGATGGTGCCATTGGTGCTGATGTTAGCGCGGTCGATGCGAAGGCTGAGATTGGCAGGGCCCGGGCCTAGCACCGAGGGGGGAGACAGGCAGACAATCTCCCCCGCACTGCGTCTTTGGTGAGTAAGATTGGGAGAGTTAAAATTACCATTGGTTAAAACAAAACAACAAGCTTCTCATGTATTACTGAACTTCAGGATTATGCTTTTGGGAAATCTTAATGTGAATGAAATCTTTCATACACATCCTATTCTCGAGCACTATTCAGTAACCCTCCACCCCACTCCTCTATTTTATTCTACCCACTAGATCTCTGCCCATTTATTTCATTTTCGCTCACTCAAAACAGATGTTCTGGAGGGAAAAAAATTGATTCTGAGATTTGGGAGGCTGTAAAAAAGGGGCTGTGGGTGCACTTTCTTCAATGGGCAGTGTAACACAGACTTTCAGATAATCAGTTCCACAGAGTTTGTCTTTTAAAAATAATATTGACCAGAATAGGAATGGGCAACCTACAGCCCTCTAGAGCCCCCAAAGCGCCGGTGGCACAGTGGGTTAAACCCCTGTGCCGGCAGGACTGAAAACCGACAGGTCGCAGGTTCGAATCCGGGGAGAGCACGGATGAGCTCCCTCTATCAGCTCCAGCTCATCATGCGGGGACATGAGAGAAGCCTCCCAAAAGGATGGTAAAAAAAAATATCAAAAAATATCCGGCTGTCCCCTGGGCAAAGTCCTTGCAGACGGCCAATTCTCTCACACCAGAAGCAACTTGCAGTTTCTCAAATCGCTCCTGGCACAGCAACAACATTACAAAGTCAGTGGTTCTCAACCTGTGGGTCCCCAGATGTTTTGGCCTTCAACTCCCAGAAATCTAACAACTAGTAAACTGCCTGGGTTTTCTGGAAGTTGTAGACCAAAACACCTGGAGACCCACAGATTGAGAACCACTGCTCTAGAAAGAGCTAATGCAAATGTAGAATGTATAATGTGTTTTAATTTGCTTTGATACTCAACATTTACTTTAAATAATCCGTTCTTCAGCTTTCAGTGTTTCAGTCTTTCAAGATCCGGGTTGAATTCCTGCGTATTAGCAATTCTGTCATTAGGGGGGTCAGAAGAAAGTTTGGACACTGTGAATTATTCTACCTAGTTCTTTGTTGTTGTAGTTCATTCGTTCAGTCGTCTCCGACTCTTCATGACCTCATGGACCAGCCCACGCCAGAGCTCCCTGTCGGCCGTCACCACCCCCAGCTCCTTCAAGGTCAAGCCAGTCACTTCTAGGATACATCCATCCATCTTGCCCTTGGTTGGCTCCTCTTCCTTTTTCCTTCCATTTCCCCCTGCATAATTATCTTCTCTAAGCTTTCCTTTCTTCTCATGATGTGGCCAAAATACTTCATCTTGACCTCTATTATCCTTCCCTCCAATGAGCTGTCGGGCTTTATTTCCTGAAGTATGGACTGGTTGGATCTTCTGGTGGTCCAAGGCACTCTCAGAACTTTCCTCCAACACCACAATTCAAAAGCATCTATCTTCCTTCGCTCAGCCTTCCCTATGGTCCAGCTCTCACATCCGTAGGTTACTTTGGGGAATACCATTTTTTTGACTATGCAGATTTTCGTTGCCAGAGTGATGTCTCTACTCTTCACTATTTTATCGAGATAGGTCATTGCTCTCCTCTCAAGAAGTAAGAGTCTTCTGATTTCCAGGCTACAGTCTGCAGTAATCTTTGCACCTAGAAATGCAAAGTCTGACACTGCCTCCACATTTTCTCCCTCTATTTCCCAGTTGTCAATCATTCTTGTTGCCATAATCTTGATTTTTTTGATGTTTAGCTGCAACCCAGCTTTTGCGCTTTCTTCTTTCACCTTGATTAGAAGGCTCCTCAGCTCCTCCTCGCTTTCGGCCATCAGAGTGGTGTCATCTGCATATCTAAGGTTGTTAATGTTTCTTCCAGCACTTTTTACCCCAGCCTTGCATTCATCAAGCCCTACACATCGCATGATGTGTTTTGCATACAAGTTGAATAGGTTGGGTGAGAGTATACAACCCTGCCGTACGCCTTTCCCAATCTTGAACCAGTCGGTTGTTCCATGGTCAGTTTTCTCTTACGGGACCCCATTTGAGATTGGGACCCACAGTTTAAAAAGCAGTGATCTAGAGGGCCACAAGTTACCCACCCTGGCTTAGAGATGGCAAAACGGCAGATTTATTTTGCAGTGACATAATGAAACAGCTCCTGTGAGGCAAGATTAAAACACTGAACAAGCTTTCATTTTGACATTTTAATTTTTTTTAAGTATCCAGTAGTACTAAGCCTCCACCCTCTGAAAACTAAACATTGCCCTCGTAGTACCTGATCAGCCGACACGGCGCTCCTCGGATTGCAACACTGACATTGCTTCCAGCATCCAGATGGGTCCCTAGGAGGCTGATTTTCGTCCCTCCTGAAGTGGGACCTCGTTCTGGGTCCACTCCATAAAAACTGGGAGTCTGGATGGCAAAGAAATCCATAATTAGATGCCTCCTGCAATTAGATTTATTTTGAAAACTGACATCCCTCCCTTTTAGAGTAGTCTGCACTGCTGTAGATGGCTAACAATTAAAGTCAGTCATCAATTATTATAAAACCGCATACAAAATGAAAGGGCAGTATAATAAGGTACACAATTTAGAGAGCTCACACACCTTCTTTACACTCACACTAGTCTCTGTTATTCTTTCAAGAATCCATTCACTTTGGTATTCTGAACCCTATGAGTCCAATGCCCTCTGACAGTTTCCAATGCAGACAATTTCTATCATGTATTATAGTGATTATTTATTTAAACTGAATATGAAGATGGATTGCCTAACCCACAGCCAGATTACCACAAAAGTGAAGGGAGTGTCCGACTGGGTCCGGTAGTCAGCACTGCAGTCCCCGACACAGAGCTCCACTGGCCCAGGCGGAGGGTCTGGTAGAAGCGATGGTTCCAGTTCACACACCAGCCTGAGAGGAAGGGGGGGGGTTGTCAAAATCATTGCATTTCCCTTCATCCAAACCTTACAACACCATCCAATCAACACTCCCTCAAGTGATGTTACGTGTAACTATTTACTAGCTTCCATACCTTAATACAAATGTGTCAAAACTCAAAGTCTGTGAGCCGAATCTGGTCTGCCATGTCATTTGATGTGGTCCCTCAGATGCTAGACTACACCTCCTGTATTCCTCATCATTAGACATTATGGCCATAGCTGATGGGAGTTGTGTACAAAAACACTTGGAAGGCTGCCGTTTTTTCTCTTCAGTTGGGAGAGTAGGGTTTGATTTGAGACACAAGGCTTGTGGACATGATGTCTGATTTTAAAATGTCCTTTAACCTCAGAGTGACAAGTGTTGTTGAGCTGAAATTCCCATGATCCTCAATTTGTAGCTTGCTCTCATCAAAACCGATGGCAGTTGTCGTTCTATAGTATCCGGGGACCCAAACAGGGTAAAACTAAAGAGCACCAGCCACATTAAAATATATAGTTGACCCTCTGTATCCACAGATTCTCCATCCATGGAACCAACAGCCCTCTGAAAGCAACCATAAGGCTGATATGGTCCTCAATTAAAAGAAAGAAATAGTTGAGTGATTTGTTGTATTCAGTTGATTTACATAAAAAGAGTGGGAACAATGCTTTTAGGAAAGTTGGAAAGTGAGAGAAAAGGGGAAAAAAAGAATAAGGGGTAGGAGGGTAGGGTAGTGTGGGGGTACACTTCCAGGTCTTCCCAGGCTGTGCAATCTTTTCACTTTCTTAGACCTTGTTGTTTTTTGTCTTCAGTTTCTTATTGATGATTCCTTTGAGTTTCGTTTATAGTTTACTAATATAGATTTCTTTATTTTCATTTTTTATAAAGTCCAAAAAATTTGTCCAATCCATTTTTTGATATCTTCCATTTATTTGACAGATTTTTTGAGTAAGTCTGTCCATATTCAAAATGTCTAGAACTTTTAAGGTCCATCGTTCGATTGTAGGTATTACTTTGGTTTTCCATACTCTGGCTAAAATAATTCTTGCTGCAGTTGTAAGATAAAAAAAGATCTTATCTGTATTTTTATCTATTTTGAAATCAGTGATCCCTAATAAAAAATATTCGGGCTTTAATTCGAATTTAATCTGAAGAATTACCTCAATCTTTTTATGTATTTGGTGCCAGAAATTCTTCTTACACTTCCACCACATGTGGATGAAGTTACCTGTGGTTTTTTTTTTCACATTTTCAACATTTCTCGTTGTTTTTACCCTTGCTAGTCTTTAATAATAGTGCTGGCATTAGGTACCATCTATAAAAGAGTCTGTACCAGTTTTCCTTAAGCTCTGTTGCATAAGTATACTTTATTTTCTTACGCCATATCTCCTCCCACTCTGACATAGATATCAAGCGATTTATGTCTCTAGCCCAGTTTATCATGTTTTCCTTTATCTGTTCCTTTTCCGTAGACCATATTAGTAGTTGATGGTATATTCTTCTTACTAATTTTGTATTGGTTTTTATTATTTTGTCCCAAAATCTTTCTTTTGTTTCGAAGCCTAATTCGTTATCTATGATAATATTCTCTTTGATCTGATAGTACTGAAACCAATTGAGCGTTGGGTCGAGAGATCTTAATTCCTCCTGTGATCTAAGCGACACTCCTTGCGTATTAACTTTTAGTAGTTGTTTATATGGTATCCATTTCTCCCTGGGAAGCTCTCTTAGATGGTTCGCCTTGTTTGGCGAGAACCGTAGTGGTGTCTTTATATATGGTTTTTCTTTATAATTATTCCAAGTTTGAATGAGCACCTCTCTTATGTAGTGATTTTTTTTTCCTTTTTTGCTTTCCCTAAAACCACTTCTTGACCTGAGTTGTGTGGGAGAAATTGCCAAGTGGGCTTTTCATTCTGGGCAGGATCCATTCCTTGGATTCACTCCTCACTTTGTAAGGGACGCCTGCCAGGTTATCAGCACTACTATTATCAGAAAGGCCTTCTGAGTGTCCTCAGGCATTGCTCTGTGCAGTAAGGAAGATGCCATAAATACTTTCGGTCTGGCATACTCTCCTCTTTAATCAACTTTGCCAAAGGAAATGCCAACATTTTTCCCAACATAGAATAAGGACCTAAGAATAGTACAGAGGTTTCTGTACTTGGACAAGGGAGGCCGGTGGTGGTATACAATATTGCTCCATATTCAGTAGGAACCTTACAGTAGTAGTTCTCAACCTGGGGGTCCCCAAATGTTTTGGCCTTCAACTCCCAGAAATCCTAACAGCTGGTAAACTGGCTGGGATTTCTGGGAGTTGTAGGCCAAAACACCAGGGGACCCACAGATTGAGAACCACTGCATTATAGTCTCTCACTTATTCTGAATGCCAAGACCTTAATGGTAAGGAATCTCAGTGGCTCTGGAAGCTAATTTACCTCTGTTGCAGGCCATTCCTTACTCTTTTCTTTTTTCAAAACTGGAAGTTTACTTCCAGTTTTGAATAGTCTTACATGTCCCAAGATGCAAATGAATCGTAAATCCTGCTGCTTCTTCTGAACTGCAATAAATGAGTTAATTTAACATCTTGGCTTCCATGGAAACCAATAAAAGGAATGCAAGAGTGGAAACTGGAGATAGCTCCTGTATCTTTAATGGTTGTGTAGAAAAGATATTTCAGCAGATATTGCTTGTTATGGAACCAAGTGAACAAGCAATAACTATTGAAATTCTCTCTTTTAAACAACTAATGAAGGCACAGGAGCCTTCTGGAGTTTTCAGTGAAATAACCATGGTGTATTTATTTAGTTATTTATTATATTATTTACTTCATTTATATACCGCTTTTCTCAGCCCTTGAGCGACTCAAAGCGGTTAACAATAGCAAAATTCAAGGCTCAACATCATAAAATCAGTTAAAAACAATTAAAACAAGACATAATAAACAATCAATTAAACATAAGTATAACATCTCATTAGCGTCTCATAGGTAGAATCAAGATCCAATCTCATCATCCATTGTTCCATATTCCTATATTAATTACACTGCCTATTCAAATGCCTGCTCGAATATCAGGTCTTCACTTTCCTCCGAAATGCTAATAGGGAGGGGGCCAATCTAATTTCTGTAGGAAGGGTGTTCCACAGCCGAGGGGCCACCACTGAGAAGGCTCTGTCTCTCGTCTCCGCCAGACGTACTTGTGATGCAGGCAGGACCAAGAGCAGGGCCTCCCCAGATGATCTTAACATTCTAGCTGGTTCATAGGAGGAGATGCGTTTGGACAGGTAAGTTGGGCCAGAACCGTTTAGGGCTTTATAGGCTAATGCCAGCACTTTGAATTGTGCCCGGTAGCAAACTGGCAGCCAGTGGAGCTGGCGCAACAGAGTTGTATGCTCCCTGAGAGCCGCTTCTGTATTTGTTTCTTGCATGGCTAGAAAGAAGAAGGGTATTCAGTCTACCACTCTAACCATTATACCACACTGACCCTTCATTTTTCTCAGTGGAAGGAAAAATAGCTGCATGAGCTGTCTTGATAGAAGGGAAAAGAGAGAGAGAAACACCTAGGTACTTCCACCTTAGTGCCAGCCTCCAATTTCAGCCTGCTTTTCTTTGAAAAAATAAGTAAAATCTCACATGCAACTACATGCAGTGCCTAGTTTTGCCGTAAGATAGTGTTGTGAAGTGTTCTAGACAAGCTAAATCATGACAGAAAATCTAAACGTTCTTCATTACCCATAGATTAATGGACACGCCAGTCCCTTTCTGTAGCACAGACTCTGTCAATCATCAGAAACAGTAGTGCAACCTCCCCAAGTTGGTGCCTTCCAGACATATTGGACTGAAACTTTCATCATCCTCAGACAGTGTACTCATTAAATTGCATACCAATACATCTGGATTCCACCAGTTTGGGGAGAGCTGCAGAACTATTCAGCACAGACCCCTGACTGCTCTTCATGAAAAGATAATACTTCTAAAAGGAATTTAAAATAATTGAAAAAAAATTACTTCTTTGGCCTCACATTCCACATGGCTACTCTGTGCAAGGATAACGTCTCTTAAGTCTCAATGAATATTTTCAATCTGGGACTCACTCTAGATTTAGTCTATATCAGCATTCCTCAACCTGGGGGTCAGGACCCCTATAGGGGTTGCGAGGGGGTGTCAGAGGGGTCACCAAAGGCCATCAGAAAACACAATATTTTCTGTTGGTCATGGGTTCTCTGTGGGAAGTTTGGCCCAATTCTATCATTGGTGAGGTTCAGAATGCTCTTTGATTGTAGGTGAACTATAAATCCCAGCAACTACAACACTATAATATCAAGGTCTATTTTCCCCAAACTCCACCAGGATTCACATTTGAGTATATTGAGTGTTCGTGCCAAGTTTGGTCCAGATCCATCATTGTTTGAGTCCACAGTGCTCAAACAGGTGAACTACAACTCCAAAATTCAAGATCATTGCCCACCAAACCTTTGTAGTATCATGGGAGTTCTGTGTGCCAAGATCGGTTCAATTCCATCATTGGTGGAGTTCAGAATGCTCTTTGATTGTAGGTGAACTATAAATCCCAGCAACTACAACTCCCAAATGACAAAATCAATCCCCCCCCCCCCAACCTCACCAGTACTCAAATTTGGGCATATTGGGTATTTGTGCCAAATTTGGTCCAGTGAATGAAAGTACATCCTGCACAGGCTCGTAGCCAGGATTTTGATTCGGGGGGGGGGGGGGATGGGGGACTGAGTTTGATTCGGGAGGGGGCTCAGTCTGAGTAAAGAGGGTCTAGCCTAGTAAACCTTTTGTATCGTTACCCCAATACCCCCAATGCTTATGGGATATATTGAGCATGGTGATCAGATCATGATATGAATAAACATAACAGTTTAAATAATGTACCAGTAAGGCCTTTTTGTAGACCACCATGAGAATTTCGGGGGGGGGGGGGCTGAAGCCCCCAAAGCCTCCCCCCCCCCACCCCACCCCAGCTACATGCCTGATCCTGCATATCAGATATTTACATTACAATTCACAAGAGTAGCAAAATTAGAGTTAGGAAGTAGCAACAAAAATAATTTTATAGTTGGGGGTCACCACAACATGAGGAACTGTATTAAGGGGTCATGGCATTAGGAAGATTGAGAAAAACTGATCTATACTATCTAAAATAGAAGCCAAGGAGGCTTCAATGAAAAAAAACAGAAGGCACCATACAGAAAGGCAAAGGTTACATCTCAGAGGTACAAGCAGCCATATTTCTCCTCCAACTCAACCCCCCTCCCCAATATTCTGTGTTTAGATGCACCCCATAATAGCCAGACCCCCATATCTTTGCATTTGATTGCTGACAGGCCCTTACTCACCTTTCAGCACTGATGTACTCCGCAGGAAGAGAGCTGCAGCGCACCCCAGCCACACGGACCCCCACCTCAAAGAAATGTAGCCCCAGGTTCTCGCCCCAAACTGTCACCCGTGTCCCTCCTTCCTTGGGGCCAGTTAGTGGCAGTACCTGGAGAGTAGGGAGGGAAGAAGGGAAGGAGGAAAAAAGAGAGAAGCATCCAGTGAAGAAAGTCGAGGAGGCTGCTATGAACCTATATGAAAGTTTCCTAAAGAAAGACAAGGTTTTCTCCTCACTTAAGGGCTTTGACAGAAAAATCCTTTGTAATATTTGTCATGTATACATTTCTATACTGTTCCTGCAAAATTAAATTAGTCCACAATGAGCGGAGAGAAAAGCAGCACAGCATTTCTATACCCAGCTTCAAATGTGTGGAAAACTCCTATGCCAGTGGGGTACATCAATATGACCAGTGTTTGAAACCATTAATAAACAATCCGATTAAAATGAATACAGGTAAAGTTGAAGGTTGTCCCCTGACATTAAGTCCAGTTGTGTCTGACTCTGGGGGTTGGTGCACATCTCCATTTCTAAGCCGAAGAGCCAGCATTGTCCGTAGACACCACCAAGGTCATGTGGCCGGTATGACTGCATGGAACGCCGTTAAATGAGTATAGGAGATGGAAAATGGAAAAGACCGTCTGACCAGCCCTATGTTAGCTGTGCATGTGCAGTGTAGGCGTCACATCTGCATAGATAATATATGTATAAAGTACACATGATGTAAGAGTTCTAACAAAATAGGTGGCATACTATACATTGATATTTTGTAGATTTTACTCATAATATAGAGCAGGGGTTCTCAAACTAAGGCCCAGGGGCCGGATACAGCCTTCCAAGGTCATTTACCCAGCCCTCGCTCAGGTTCAACCTAAGTCTGAAAGCACATAACAACAACAACAATCCTATCTCATCAGCCAAATGCAGGCTCACACTTCCCATTGAAATACTAATAAATATATATTTTTATAATTGTTCTTCCTTTTAATTATTGTATTGTTTTAAGCATTTTTGCACTACAAATAAGACGTGCAGTGTGTGTAAGAATTCATTTATGTGTTTTTAACATTATAATTTGGCCCTCCAACAGTTTGAGGGACTCTGTTTAAAAGGTTTGTGGACCCCTGATATAGAGTATCAGTACAGGCGTACAGTGTAAAAAGGCACCGGGATTGTGGCACAGCTGGCTGAGTGTCAGCTGCATTAAGATCACTCTGACCAAAAAAGGTCATGAGTTCGAAGCCAGCCCAGGTTGGAGTGGGGTTCCAACCAATTGTGTGTAGCCTGTTGTCGACTTTTGCAACCCGAAAGACAGTTGCATCTATCAAGTAGGAAAATTAGGTACCACCTTAAAGTGTGGGGAGGCTAAATTAACTGATTTATGAGGCCATAAAAAAGACTCCAGTAAAGCATTCCAGCAGGGAAGCATGCGGGGAATGCGGAAGTGCTTCATCAGCATCGCAGATGGACGATGAAAGCGACAGCTCCCCTGGCGGCCAGAAAAAAAGGTAAATAGCCTCTGTCTATGTCTGTATATGTTTGTATGTCAAAAATTGGCATTAAATGTTTGCCATATATGTGTAATCTGCCCTGAGTCCCCTGTGGGGTAAGAAGGGTGGAATATAAAAGCAGCAAATAAAATAAATAAATAAATAAAAACAGGAAATCTCAAGGCATCTGCTATGACTGATATGCCAGTCTTGAATTTGTGTAGTGGGCTACCAGTTACCACAAAATGAAGAGAAATGAAAAAGCTTCTTCTCTATTACTTTAATCACTACACATTATTTCATCATTTTTCACCAACTGGAGTTTTGCCTGAAGTACAAAAGATCTAATTCTTAATAAAAGTCAGCACATAAAATGCAGGGATTTGATGAAGTTGCTCCTCTTACTTGGGTGATCCGAGGGTGGGCACAGCGAGCGCCCCGCCGGCCTGGCGGCACCCAATTCTGACGGGAAGCAGGGCAATGAGGCCGCAAGAGACACCGACGTTCGGGAACACACCAACCGCACTCATAGCGTGGGTCCGACTTGAGGCACAGGCCACAGCTAGAACGCTGGGCAGAACATTTGTACAACAAAGCTGGGAAGAGAGCGAAATAAACGTATTGGAGACTAGCAGTACCCGCCACGCGTTGCTGTGGCCAACCTTCCCTCCCTCTTTCTCTCCTCCCTTCCCTCTTTCCTTCCTTTTCTCTTTTTCTTTCCCTATCTCTCATCTTTCTTCCATCTCTGCCTGTTTCTTTCCTCCCTTTCTTTGCTCTTTGGTTACATCCTTCCTTCCTTTCCTATCTTTCATTCCGTCTCTCCTTCCTTCCTTCCCTCTTTCCCTCCTTCTCTCGTTACTTCTTGACTGTCCCTTCCATTTAATATTGTATTTATATCTTACATAGAAAGAAGGAAAGGAAGAAGGAAGGAAGGAGGGACAGGAAGGAAGAAAAAGAAAGAAGGAGAGACAGGAAGGAAGGAAGGAAGGAAGAGAGGGAGGGAGAAGAAGGAAGGAAGGAGGAAGGAAGAAGGGAAAGAAAGGAGGGAGGGAAGGAAATGAAGGGGAAGGAAATGAAGAAAGGGAAAGAAGGAGGAAAGGGAGGGAGGGAGGAAAAGAAGGAAAGGAAAAGGAAGGAGGGACAGGAAGGAAGGGAAGGAGGGAAAGAAGGAAAGGAAGGAGAAGGAAAGAAGAAAAGGAAAGAAAGGAAAGGGAGGAAAGAAGGGAAGGGAGGGAGAGAAGGAAGGTCCTTCATTCAAGCACTGTGGACCTTCCTCGCCCCTCCTCCTCCTCCTCCCCTTCTTCCTTGCGTGGAGCACTCCGTTGCTGCTGCTGGCACTTTCCAACAGGGAAAGGAGGAGGAGACTGCTCTCCTGACATAAGAGGGGAAGAGAAGGGGCTGCATGAGTCAAGCCTCCACCTCCACTCCACTCGCTTGTGTGTGTGTGTGTGTGGCTGTGCACGTGCACCTGGCTTTAACGGCTGTTTCCCAGTGAGGAGGAGGAGGGGGTGTGGCCATGGGTCTCGGTAGACATGCAGTTTCTCCTTTGTGGACATGCAGTTTAGAAGTCCTTTCTGCTTTTTGTTTTCCTTGTTTTTTTGAGTGGAGAACATACATTGGGTTGTTAGGGACATAGTGTCCAAATTTGGTGTCAATTGCCCCAGTGGTTTCTGAGTTCTGTGAATAGCACAAACGAACATTACATCTGATTACATTTTCTTGCCCTGGTGAAGAGAGTTGGACTGGATGGCCTTAAGTATTTTCTGTTGGTCATGGGGGTTCTGTGTGGGAGGTTTGCCCCGAGTCTGTCATTCGTGCGGTTCAGAACGCTCTTTGATTGTAGGTGAACTGTGAGTCCCAGCAACTACAACTCCCAAATGTTAAGGTCTATTTCCCTTAAACTCCATCTGTGTTCATATTTGGGCATATGGAATATTCGTGCCAAGTTTGGTCCAGATCCATCATTGTTTGAGTCCACAGTGCTCTCTGGATGTGGGTGAAGCTATATTTCTATCCCACCTTCAGTGTGCCCAAGATTATACGAGGGATATTTTTTAAGTAAGGTCCGTTTGAACATAAGTACACAACGAAAGTTTATTTCAAAAAAGTGAATTCATTTTCAGAAAGTACATACTTCACTCTATTTTTGACATAGTTGCCAAGTTTGTTCAAACACTTATCATACCTCTGAACCAATTTTAAAATACCCTCTTCCCGAATCCTCGCTTCAACTGAAGCCACCAAATCGTCTGTAATCAAAGAAGGGCGACCGGAGCTGTCCTCATCATGGACGTTGTCACGGCCATCTTTGAATTGTCGTACCCACTTACACACTTTGCTTTCACTCATAACAGTATCACCGTACACTTCACAAATCTGTCGATGAATTTCTGCAGCAGGCAGGTTCCTTGCTGACAAAAAACCGTATCACTGAGCGAACCTCACATGCGGAGGGTGAGTTGATGGTCTTAAACATTTTGAAAGCACAGAACAGAACCGTGCAGGTTAGCTACAGAGCGGAAACTGAGCACAGTTGTTCCCAAGGCATGCCGGTACACGACGCACGCGCTCGTTACGGTATGTGCGTGAACTACTAGTGTCTACAACAAAACGGACCTTACTTAAAAAATACCCCTCGTATATATGGTTTTCCTTCTCCTCAATTTATTTCTCCAGTACAGCAATCTAGATCAAAAAGTAGGCTAAAGTGAGTGGATGTAACTGGCTCAAGGTTGGATTTCATGGCTCACTAGGACATGGACCTAGATCTTGAAAATCTTGCTTTTATCTTCTGCTTCATTTCTTGATTTTTATGAGGACTTCAGATGACATTGTCTTCCCCTCAACACCTACCCACCACCCCTTGTTGTTTCTCAATTTCTCTTGTCATTTTTTGCTTACTTTGGAAAACAATCGGTTAAGAAACAATGCCTGCACGATGCCTTCTTAGCGAAAGTGTAAGGAATCCTCCATCTGGAAAGCCCCTCCAGCTATTACACCAGACTGACGCCACTCATTTGTACAGACTGGTGATTGGACTTGACTTGATCGTGTGCTAGCCTAAGAGGCCTTGCTGCTGGAAGCGGAGCCCACATTTTCCATCACTCACTCTCCAACCCCTAAGGCCAACACTTTGAGACAATTTGCAGCACAGTGAAGGTGCCAGCTCTTGCCTTTCTCTTTCTCTCTTCACCCACCCCCACAGTGCAGCAGAAATTAGGTCATTTTGCCCAGCTGCCTGTTAGGGCTGGGCCTGCGTATCGCATTGGCTAGAGCACACTGTGGTGTGATTTGTGCCAATGTGGATGTATTCAAACAAATACATCCACATGCCGAGAAAACAATATGCTAAAACCTTGTGCCGGTTTTACTACGTTAACCCACAAGGTGAGAACAGAAACTTGGACCATATTGCAGGGTTTTGGGGAGAATGTTTCAGCCCCCGTTTGAGAGTATCAGTGGGAGAGGTCATATAGGGTGAACAACAGCCAAGGGAAATAGGAGAGGCCCTGTTATTTCATCTATCTATATACATAAAAATGTAATATTAGTTCGTGCTACCATCAGAACTCAAAAACCACTGGGGGAATTGACACCAAATTTGGACACAAGACACCTAACAGTCCAATTTATGTCCTCCACTCAAAAAAATTGATTTTGTCATTTGGGAATTGTCGTTGCTGGGATTTATAGTTCACCTACAATCAAAGAGCATTCTGAACTCCACCAATGATGGAATTGGGCCAAACTTAGCACACAGGGCTCCCATGACCAACAGAAAAAACTGGAAAGGTTTGGTGGACATTGACCTTGAGTTTGGGAATTATAGTTATTACTGTATATATTCATACAAGTCTAGAATTTGTTTTTGTCAAAAATTGACCTGGGTTGACTTATTCATAGGTCAAAAGCAAGTACTTTTTTTTCCAAGGCACAATGGGTTAAACCCTTGTGCCGGCAGGACTGAAGATTGACAGGTCTCAGGTTCGAATCCAGGGAGAGTGCGGATGAGCTCCCTCTGTCAGCTCCAGCTCCCCATGCGGGGACATGAGAGAAGATGGTAAAACATCAAAAACATCCAGGAACCCCCTGGGCAATGTCCTTACAGACGGCCAATTCTGTCATACCATTAGCGACTTGCAGTTTCTCAAGTCACTCCTGACATAAAAAAACCTATTATTTAAAAAAAACTAAAAAGAAAACTTTGCCTTCTCTGAATAAGACATAAGCTTAGCCCATCCCAGGAAAATCTAAAAGAAGTGCCAACCCTCTCTACTCTCTTTGCCTTTTCAAAAGCCTGAACAGGAAAACGGTGGCAATGGTGGCTAGGTGCCGATGTCATTTTCCCCTTCTCTGCAGAATGACCCTCAAATTATCCTGGGGTCATATCAAAAACTGTAATTTTGACCCCCCAAATCTACCCTCAACGTATAGATGAAGTTGACATGGATGTGAATATATACAGTAAGTAAATCTATATAAATAAAAATGTAATGTTCGTTTGTGGGGTTGACATAACTCAAAAACCACTGGACGAATTGACACCAAATTTGGACACAAGGCACCTATCAGGCCAATGAGTGACCATCACTTATAAAAACATTGAAAATCACAGCAGAAGAGCCATAAAAAGCCAAAATTACATTACAACACATGCGCAAAACCACACACATATATACACAAATATATAGACACACAAAACATATATACACAGACTAGGCCACAGCAATGCGTGGCAGGGGACGGCTAGTATCAAATAAGAATGTTCGGAGACATAAGGAGACAGAAAACATGTAAGCAAAATCAGTTTGCAGCAATTTTGTGCTAGAGGAAAACAAGATGAGAAGCCAAGCACCTGCTTAGTACAGATCTACACTCCATGCCTAATACCTTTGAATCCTGGCGGCTTGTCAATCGCAAAGTCTCCATCCCAAATGACATCGAAGTCCAGTGGCAGCTCTCCCACTTCCTCACCATCATACCAATACTGAGGAATGAGAGGGTCATAAATTAGGAAAGACACCAGAGTATATTGTATATTATTATTATTATTATTATTATTATTATTATTATTATCATCATCATCGTCATCTTCATCATCACCACCACCACTACTACTAATACTAATTTATACCCCGTTTTATCTCCCCAAAGGGGACTCAAAGTAGCACGACATAAAAGTATTAGTATACAGTTTAAAATATACAAATATACAGACAATAAAAGAGAATGAAACACAAACAGCATTAAGAAATTCAAAGTTAAATTCCATTAAACATATTCAAAGTTAAAAACCACAGCATTGTATTGCAACAAATGGTAAACTCAACAAAGAGATAAGCATTGGGGCAAAACAAAAAAGAAAGAGAGCGACATCAAGCATCTCCATGGAAATATGGAACACACTTAGGTGTTCTGTAACTAGGACACATGAAGCATTTTACTACCTGGAAAGAAGTGTTTCCCAATAGCAAAGTCAAGGAGTATGCGCCTTCAAGTCCCCTGCTGGTTTATGACAGCCTTATTAATTTCATAAGGTTTTCTTAGGCAAGGAATACTCAGAGGTGGTTTTGCCACTTCCTTCCTCGCAAATAGGGCCTAAAGAACCTGGTATTTGTTGGCAGTCTTCCATCCAAGTACTAACCAAAGTATGTAAAGTCAGGGAAGTTATTTTAGCTCAGGGAGGGAGGTGGAGATAAAAAAATATATCCTCATCCATGGCAATAGAAATACAGTAATATAAAAATTCAGTTGGGAGAGCCTTCTCAAGATGAATGGGTGATAGCCTTATTCTGAGTAAGATAGGGATGGCAACTCTGCAATCTCCAAGGGCTAAACTTTGTGTTTATGGCACACTGGGAATGATACTCTGTCAATTCTATTTACCCGCATATTCCAGAATATAAGACCACTGGGTGAATAAGACGACCCCCAACTTTTCACCCTTCACTTACACCTTCCCGGTAAGGCGCCTCTTCACCTCACCATCGGGACCACATTAAGTCCACAAATCCTGATTTTCTTCTACCGTACTTGTACCGGGATTGTGGACCCCTGATATAGAGTATCAGTACAGGCGTATGTGGCCGCATGTCATCAAAAGCACCGGGATTGTGGCACAGCTGGCTGAGTGTCAGCGGCATTAAGATCACTCTGACCAAAAGGTCATGAGTTCGAAGCCAGCCCGGGTTGGAGTGGGTTTCCAACCAATTGTGTGTAGCCTGTTGTCGACCTTTGCAACCCGAAAGACAGTTGCATCTGTCAAGTAGGAAAATAAGGTATCACCTTAAAGTGTGGGGAGGCTAGATTAACTGATTTATGAGGCCATAAAAAAGACTCTAGCAAAGCATTCCAGGGGGGAAGCAAGCGGTGAATGTGGAAGTGCTTCATAAGCGTCGCAGATGGACGATGAAAGCGACAGCTCCCCGGCGGCCAGAAAAGTTAAATAGCCTCTGTGTATGTGTTTGCATGTCAAAAATTGGCATTGAATGTTTGCCATATATGTGTACACTGTAATCCGCTCTGAGTCCCCTGCGGGGTGAGAAGGGAGGAATATAAAAACTGTAAATAATAAATAAATAAATAAAATTTCCAGTTAAAATATAGAGTTTGGGATATACTCGCCGTATAAGACTACCCCTCTTCCAACACACACCAAATAAAAAATTTAAAAGCATCAGATTTGATTTCAATAATTGTTAATTTTTCATATTACTGGAAATCCTCACTTCTCCTGCCTCTTCAGGGACCTCGCACCATGCACCAAACCTGCACCACTTTCAAACTTTGGCAATTTCTTCAGGGAGCGAGGAGATCTGGAGGAGGGGCAAGAGGAGGAGGTTTACGGTAATAGGATAAAACAAGGCGCGGGCCAAAGACAGGTAAAAGGAGGGTGTGGGTTTTTGGGGCCCAGAGGGGCCAACTCTAGTCCTTTTTTTTCCAATATCCGGGGGTTGCCGGGAATTGCTGCAGCTTTTGCTCTGCCCCTTCACTTACAACCTTTCTCGGTTAAGGCGCCCCCCCTTCCAACCTTCCCCCCACCTTTCGGTGACCACAATTTTAAGGGGGTTCCCAACGATCATCCTGAGGAATTTTATTTTATTTAAAGGGAAACTTTTATATTTTACTTGTTCTTTTTTCTCCCCTTCAGCAGGGAGGGGTTTATCCAAGGGGGGGGGCCGTTATTTAAAAAAAACAAAAAGGATTCACAAATTCTTCATAGTAAAAATAAAATCACAATTATGGCCATCTCTGCAATTAAAAAATTACCATTAAAATACAATCATATAAATTATATAAGGGCCAAAAAGTTCCCATCTTTTTTCTCTGAGAGCTTAATGTCATCACTATCTAATTTCATGGGTGGTTAAGGAGTTAAATTGGGGACTCACTCAATCGCAATGCTAAAAAATTCGGAGCCAAAGTTTTTTTCAACCCTGTTTTTTCCTAAAAGTTCAAGAGAGAAAAGGGCAGGTCTAATTTTTCCAGTGGGAGGAGAGTTCCCAGAAAAGCTGAGGGGCCCCAACCAACGAAAAAAAGGCCCCGGGCCCCCCACCAGACGCGCTTGTCGGAGGATGGTGAGGGGGGGGGGGGACCGAAAAGGGAGCAGGGGGCCCCTCCAAGAAAGATTCTTAATAATCTGGGATGTTTCATAGGGGAGAATCCGTTCGGACAGGTAAACTGGGCCGGAGTAGTTTAGGGCTTTATAGGTCAACACCAGCACTTTGAATTGTGCTCGGAAACTGATTGGCAGCCAGTGGAGCTGACGTAACAGAGGCGTAGTATGCTCCCTGTACCCCGCTCCTGTTAGAAGTCTGGCTGCCGCTCGTTGGACTAGTTGTAGCTTCCGGGCAGTCTTCAAAAGGGCAAAAAAAACTCCCCACCATAGAGGAGTCTTTCATTCTTCTATTTTTGTCATATTCGTAAAAAAAAAAAAAACCAGGAGCTGATACAAAAATTTTTTTTTGGGGGGGTGGGGTGGGGTGGAGCCAGAATCAGGGACCTTTCAAGGTTAGGGCGCCAGCTGGCGCACAAGTTTTTAAATTGTTGCAAAACACAAAAGCTCCCTGGGTGGGACCCACGGCAGGAGGGACCGGGGTTCCCCAGGGGGGGGGGAACTCAAGCGGATTAAGTCCAGGATCACTCCCCAAAAGCTGCCGAAAAAAACCTGCGGACCCTTCCAGGGGTGTAAAACCCCGTCTAACAACCACAGGGCGTAAAACTTATTTGCCCCCCTGTTTTTGGCTTTTTTACGGGGACTAACCAGGAGGGGGACTTCGTCTTGTCTGGATTTAGTTTTCCCAATCTGCTTAAGCCCTCATCCAAAGGTCCGTTACCAGCGGCCAAAGCACCGGTTCAGGGTGGGGACTTTCGGGGGGGGCCCCAACAGGGGCCTCCTTAGTAGTAGATGGAATTGGGATTTTATTCTACGTACTTTGTCAGGCATCGCCCTTAAATGCTTCATTAAGTTGGATGATTTGCAGTAGAAGGACAAGGTTTTCTTAGACCAAGACATTCAGCAATAGCAGCAACCAAAGTTTTCTCAAATTGGGATTGAAAAATGTGTGTTTCAGCACCTGCTCTATTTAAGGGGGGGACGGGATCCCGCATTGTAAGGGGGAAGGGACTTCCTGGGCCTAAGGTCATTAACGCCAGCATGCTAAGGAAGGGGACTACCGCATATAAGACCGGGGGGGGGGGGGACCCTGGCACCCAATTGAGGAAAAAAAATGCAGACAGGTTTTAAAAAGTAAATAATAATAAAATAAATAAAATAATAATAATTAATAATAAATTAAATATTACTTTTATTTTATTTTACCCTTTGGTGGTTGGGTGAGAGTTGTTGTTGTTGTTGTGACTTACATGGAAAAGCCGAGCCCAAAAAGACATCAAACAGTAAAAAAAAAACAAAAAAAAAAAAACAATAGGGGAAAAAAAAAAAAACAATCAATTACAACAGCACAATAAAATTCATAAAACAAAATCATAAACTGAAGAAGGCAAAAAGAAACAAAATAAAGCCATTTTTTTTAAAACCTTATGGGGGGCTGGGCCCAAAATGTATAAATTTTATAAATTTAAAAAAAAATTTAAATTGCTGTGACTGGGGACCCAAGGTAGGGATATACCGGAAATAGGGTTTCAGGGTGAAGAGGAAATTGGGGGGTGTTCAGGACAATCCTAAAAATCCAGTGGATAAAAAGTTTGGCATTTTAGGGGAAACATTATGCGAAGGGTTATTTCCCCTTACTCTGGGAAAGGCACAAATGGGAAACAAAAAAACCCGCGTTCTCAAGGCTGCCATTCCTAAAAGAACGTGCCACGGTAGGTTGGGGTGGGCATGTTTCTGAATGTCTTTGGGGAAGCAAGGGTTCCAGAGTCGAAGGGGGGGGGCACCACGTGAGGGAGGGGCCCTCTTTCCCTCGTTCCCCCACAAATTCGTTAAACCCTGCGAATGACAAGGTGGAAAAAGGCGCGGAAAAGGGGCCAGGGGGGCCTCTCCATAAAAGGTAGTTTGTTAATTACCACCAGAAAAATATGGTTAAATTTATTTTGAGCCCAGTTGTCTGGGGGCCTTTTTCCAAAACATCTTTGCCTGGGGACTTGGAGAGGGTTTTCTGGGGAGGGGGATGAGACAAACTTTTGCATTTCTGGGAGGTTTGAGTCCATTTTGACTGGTTTCTATCACGGAGGTGGGACTTACCAGGGATCTTCAGGAGCTGTAAAACTATGTTTTGGGGTGTCATACAGCCTGCTAATCTCATTTCCCTGCCCCTGGCCTTAAAACAGGACTAGATTGGGCTGATTTCCCTTGATTTTAATGTTTCAGGATCACGTATGCAGAGGAAATATTCACTAGTTTGCTAAATTTAGAACTGAATAAATAATACATTCCCCCATCTCTACCATTGCCCCATTTCTCGTATCTCTGGCACTGCCTGGGTTCTCAAAGTGTTGCCACCGATGATAACACAGACAATTGCC